AAGTACATTGAGCGAAATTGCTTTGAACTTACGATTGCCGCTAAGTGCTTTTGCTTTATCCATGAAATGCATGCTTTGTTTAAATTATATATAACCCTAGATACTAACGATAAATTTTACAGAAAATTTAAGAATTATATAATTTTTACACAAGGCGCAATAACTATGTATGTTAAGAAAATAGCAATATATAAGCTTTTATACCCTGAACCCACTGAAAACGGGTAAAAAGGGTATATTGTATTTGTGCAAAATTCAAATGTATGTAACAAGCAGAAGGAAGCATTTCCGACCCCATAAAGTATATATATTCTTGATCAACATCAATAATCGAGTCGAGCTAACCATGTCCGTCTGTCTGTCTGTCCGTCCGTCCGTATGTATGAACGCAAGGATCTCAGAACCTATAAGAGAGATCGAGTTTGATTCCGATAATCGATAACTTGTTCCGTTTTCAAGCAATCGATAAAAATCTATATCGACATCCTGTTTTTTGAGCAAATTGGGTAAATAATAAGATAGAGTCACCAAACATAATATGTTCCTTTTAGAATATTATATATGTATATGTCAAGTATCTTTCATTTTGTACCTATCGCCAATTCAATTGAATTTTTCAGAATACACAAATATTCTATGGTACAATAAGAAATACTGTAGACAATTTTATAAAGATCGGTTAAGAAAAAACCAAAGTTATATACAACTGCGCAAATGGATGGGGCAGCAGCTTTAAGAATTTCTGTATACATGTACACACACACACATTCATGCGCGTGTGCTTCGCATTCTAACAGCATGGTAATTTCGACTTTCTTTTGGTAATGCTATTTTAGTTCCTTTTTTTATCATACAAGTACTATATTATTGGTGTGGCTGCTGAGTAGAGGCATAGCAGGTGGTGCGGTCAATTGCGAGTTCGAACCCTGCCAAGGGAACTTTTTTTTTTTAATTTATTTGGCGTTGGAATAAGAGGGTTCAGGGTCAAGAGCTTCCGACTAGAACCTCTTAATTGTTTAAATTACATTATTAGTTAAATTATTATTATTATTTTTAAGTAATAAAATTATATTACGAAATAAAATATTTGTGGTTTTTAAAGATACATTTTATTAATTTTTTTTTTTTAATTACATTTTTTTATTGTAATTAAAAAGTACAAATGGTCTTAATGGGTGAATAAAAATAATATTAATTTAATTTAAAGAAATTGTATATGTAAATATTTGCATCGACTTAAAAATACATATTTTCACACGCATACAAACATAATTGCTTGCACGGCCCTCATAGAGCCGAAGCTGAGAGTACATTCTATTTTTAGCTTTTTCGCTCTTTCGGCTGTGAGAGCGTAATGATAAAGATTTCTTTTCGTTCTCAATTTTCAAAAAATCAAGCTGCATAGTAGCACTTTGTTGTATGGCGTTACTCAACTTAGTCTTTATATTGTCTTTGGTTCAGGGTATCCCCTAGTCAGGTCTAGAACCTCTTACTTGTTTAAGATATCTTAGCCATACTCGGCATTATCTATTTTCCCTGCGCTTCTTAGATACGGGCAAAGCACTATGAGCATTATGAAAAGGTTGGGTCTGCAAGGGTATTATATCTTTGGCGTGCCGAAGATAGACCTTCTCTCTTGTTTTTTTTTTTTAAAATCAAATTCTTAGTATGGCTGTAAGGTATAAACCGGTGGAAAGTACCTTGGTCGGATGAGCGGAGTTTAGAGCATGTAGCTCTAGCTACATTTGATGTTGGTAGAAGCACGTCCAGGGTGTCCTCTGGTGGGCACTCCCGACTAGAGCACTTTTAGTTGTAAAAGTCAAAATTTGGTTAGTTTGGATAGTAATCAATAACTGCGAGAGCATATATTAGAAATACAGTACGACCTCGCTCAACGCAACCTATTAAAATTTGGCCAATTGCGAAAAATGAGGTGGAGGGAAAAATTTTCTGTTAGCCACGGGACCTATTACCAAAAAGCGATGCCTTTGCTAACCATTAAAATTAAAGTAAATCGAATAGTTCTGTGTTCAACGCAAGGATTTCATTTAACTTTATTTATTTTTTGAAAAATCGAGAAATTGTGGTCTGTACTTTTTTACAATTTATACTTTTCTAAACAGCTGTTTCGCGAAGATCTTGAAGTTTCAAAATGTCATTTAGTGGGAGTTCCGTCTGTTCAGTCCATTTAATTCAGGTGTTAAAACCATTAATAACAGTTTGCAATTGCATTTGCAATTGCTTTTGTCTGGACTTTCGATTTCATCCACTTCGCCTGCAGTTGAAGAGTCGTCGCTTACGTGTTCATAAGACCTGTCAATTATTAACTTCATTTAGATGATCGGAAATCGCTGCAATCATTGATTGTTCATGAAGTAGTTCATCTCTTATAAATTTTAACCAGTCCATTGATCATTGGAATAAATCAACATATTTCAGGACTTTTTCATAGCATAAGATCACACTTTACCCCATGCATTTCCCGGCCCGAATTCCGCATTTGTGATGAACTTTCGTAGCGCAGCTTTACTACGTTTAATCCTAGTTATTGTGGATTTATGCACATGATATTCCTGACATATGGATTTAATAACAATGCCGCTATCCAGTTTTTCTACTATTTCACATTTTTGTGCTATTGTAAGTTTATTGACACGTTTAATTACTGGCATATTGTAGGCAGCACGTGTGAATCAACCGATCGCAAAATAAATTCCATCAAACTAAAAGCGCACAGGAACCAGTCATACACACATGCATCATGCGTGGGATTCCCCAATTTATATTTTTCGACAGAGACAATTGAACGAATGAACAAGAGAACAAAAGAAAAGTGGTAAAAACATACTAAAACATACAATTTTCCTTGGAAGTTGGAAGTTAAATGAAATTTTTTTTTTTTAAGTTGCGTTTACAGAGTCTACAATGTTAAGAAATCGGATGTTGCAATTATCGAAGAGTTGCGTGTAACGAGGATTGCGTTGAGCGAGGTCGTACTGTAACATTTTAATCAAATCAGAGACAACAAGAGGTTCTAGTCGCGAGTTCCCGGCTAGGGGATACCCTGAACCATCGTATTATTCCAAGTAGAGGCTACAGCCTTTACTCAACAGCCGCACCACTCATTAAGTCATAATAAGAAAAAAACGAATTAAAATAGCAGCACAGAAAACAATACAATCGCAATTGCAATGCTGTTGATAGAATTCGAAACACAGGCGCATGAATGTGTGTGTGTACATGCATACAAAAATTCTTGGAATTTGTGCTAGCTACCGATCTTAATGAAATTTTCTACAGTCTTATTGTACCATAGAACATTTGGGTATTCTCAAAAAGTCAATTACATTTAAATGTGGCTTAAATTAGTGGGCAATACAAGTTGGGTTATTAACTTGATTTATAGCTCTGCTGTGGTAGCGGGGAGGTGGCGATAGGTATAAAATGAAAAATACTTGATATATATATAACATTCTATAAGCAGCATATCAAGTTTGGTAAGTCTAGCTTTTAATATTTACCCAATATGCTTAAAAAACAGGATGTCAATATCGAGTTGTATCGATTGCTTGGAAACGGAGTAAGTTATCGATTATCGGAAACTAACTCGATAAAATTTCAAGTCTCTAGCTCTTATAGGTTCTGATTTCCTTGGCTAGATCGACTCGGCTATTGATGCTGATCAAGAATATATATACTTTATGGGGTCGGAGGGAGATGCTTCCTTCTGCCTGTTACATGCATTTGCACAAATGCATAATACCCTTTTTACCCATTTTCAATGGGTTCAGAGTATGTTATCGATTTTTAAATGAACAACGGGCGATTCTATCTATATGTTTGATGTTTATTCCGTGCTCCCGATGGTCAAAACTGTTAGTTGGAGGTAGTTACGAGTTTGACTCCACAAGGGCGAACTTATTTTCCTACTTTAATTATTAGTTTTAATTTATTTATTTTAAGGCAAAGAGCACGAAGAGCGCCCTGCAATTGATGCTGGAAGTAGAATAAGGTGTACCAATACTTTTTTGACTCTCGCACTGTATTGACATATGTAAATGAGCATTGACAATGCAAAACAAGAGTGCTCAGCATCGACTTATCTATTAATACTGACCGAGAATGTATATACTTTACGGGGTCAGAGATGTTTTATTTATTTTATATAACAAATTTGCACAAGCACTTTTTACCCATTTGCAATAGGTTCGGGTCATAAAGGTCATATGAAAAGTCTTATGCGGTTTCATAACTGAAGTACGCATATGATTACATAGAAACAGACACTCAGACAAACGAACCGTATATTGATTTTCGGTGACTATGTTATTTTTATTGATATAGTAGGAGCGTTGTCAAAGCAAGCTCTCCGGCGTGTTCTATGCATTTTAAACGAACTGTTCGAGTTGGCTACCATTAATATATTTTAACACAGTGTTCTTACCACTGATCATATAGCTATGAAGTTTTTCAATAAGCTACACGTTCCGAGAAAAATTGATAATGGCGTTATCAAGCATAATTAAAGCTATAGAAAAAGCTAAGAGAGGTTTACTCACCTTGCATGCACCGATCAAAGTTCAGTTGTTTATTTTCGGGCTTTCCAGTAATTTAATTAAGAGCGTTCAGTAATAAATCGTCATGGTTTATCAGTACAGTTTTAAAGTCTGCTTTGACATAATTTACACCAGTGGTATGGACATGGGTACGAGTGTGCAACAAATCCCAGCCAAATCCGCGCTAGTGTATAGCAAACGCCTAGCGTGTCAAAAAGATAAGCAATTGATTATAAAGTTTCTTATCACTTTTAGCCAGGGACTGTATCTATGTACATATATGAAAAAATATTTATAAATTTCTTGCGCGAAAGCGTTTGGTCATCGCGGCAGCACCACCGACGACGTTGGCGTCGATGTTGACAACACCTCAAGTGGTCACTTTAGCCTATAAAAGCTATTGATTCGATTGGCTATACAATTAGTTACCCGCTCGTGCAATTGGCACGCATCTCCAATTACCTAGTGATATTCCCCAGAAAACGGACACAAAAAGGATCAGATTAGCAAGAACTATGGCGCAGCACCATAAACTGGGGCTGCTAAAAGCAGCGTTGCTTTTGCTGCTAGCCACCTCGATTGAAGCTTACTCAAATAATAGCAGAGAATTGCTAACTGGATATTCGACACCAATGCAGACTAGCCTGTCCTATCAATTCTTTGCTTTAGCCACACAAAAGGCTGCTATGACTAATACCACCGGCAGTTCTATGGTACGAACTGGCTCCAAGGATTCGCTTAATAATCGACTCTACGATGATGTTCTCTGCGATAGGGACGTAGCACGAATACGTGACGCCATCCAAAACATGGAGGAGTGGGCTCTAGAATGTAAGCTAAGTATCATATTTAACTTGCACCCAGAACATGGGTAAGATACAAATATAAAACGATATCTAGGTACACCAACACAAATTTGGCATATGGATATTCTTGCCCATTTGCTAATCAAGTTTTCAAATCTAGGATATATCTAACCCCTTTATATACCGCGTGCATATTTCAATTGGATAAAATAGGTTAAATAACGAAATGTGACCATATAAAGTATATATTAATTATCCGCTGTTGCGGGTCGATTGAAGTATATCTTATCCAGTCTGTTTGTCTGTCTGTTTGGGAACGTCGATTTCTAAAATTGGATGCTTTCAATTTTGAATTCTTTCGCTACTTACAAAATAATTGAAGTAAAAGCCTCTAGCTGGGATTGATTATATTCGGACACACTAACAAGGGAACTTGACTGGAATGGCCCGCTTTTTGTTTCTGATTAAGAATATGTATACTTATGGAGTTGGAGAATTCCCTTAAGAGCAAAACAAGTAAGAGTGCTCTAGTCGGGAGTGCCCGACTAGGAGATACTCTGAACCTTCTTCTTTCAAAACGCATCGTGCTAGCCTGCTTAAGCTGTGGTAAATACTTAACCGATTTAATGGGTAGGGAAAAATAACACACAAAAATAAGTATGCAAATTTTTGTTTATTTCGACTTTTTGAGGTCGAAGATGTTTCCTTCTGTCCGTTACGTACATTTCCACAAAATCATTATACACTTGTTGCAGAATCATCAGCTTCATTTCTTCTATGGTTTGAGCTGTGAATTGACTACCAAACTCTCAGACAATCACGCAAAGACTATTTTTTATGAATAGATAGAAATTTACTAGAAATCAAAGGAATCATTATTACAATATGATTTTTCAGATTTTCGTCAATTTCCTTAATCCCAATCCTCTCTAATTTTTTCGTGCGCTCAATTGGCTTGATTAATGGTTCTGTTTGCACAACCTTGTAAATAATCAATCAGAATTTACTAAGTGCAGCAATGGAGCAGTCAATGATAGTATAGAATTTGTACTCCTATACTATAGGCGTATAAATTAGGTAATGAGGCCTATTTTGGTTGTTCTTGAGGCTCATTCATAAGTTATCACAAACTTTAATGGCGCATCGTAAATCAAAATTCAAATCTAAATTGTTGAGCACTATATATTAGTAAACTTTTATATAAACGATTAGATTTGGATAATTAGATTATGATGCAACATTTTCATGTCATATTATGAGCAACATATTAATTTAAATCTTGGCCATACTACAATTTGTATTAATTGAGCATTAGTGTGATTGTGATAATACTTAGTGTTAAGTTCCTGGCCAATTGACAGTTCAATTTGAATCTAATCTGAAATTGTGCTAATGATTGCCAAATATCGCCATTGACTCGTCCAAATCAATTGAATACCCAAAGTAATATCACTCACCAAACAACATACATATAAACTGGTCAACCAGTGTAAAATCACTAATCAAACAACATTAAGACTAGACAATCGGTGGAAGACGCTGGGGCCTCGTATTTTTGAAGCGGCCTGGTCCAAAGTCGCCTTCGCTTTTAATTGGGTTCGAGGCACGCTCACACGCTCAGACAGCAAGAGAGTAAGAAATACATATGACTTGTGTGATAGAACGGCATCGCTGCTCTTTTTTATTCCCTCACACTACAGGAAACTGCTTTGGCTTACTCTCAGTGCTCTTTCCATTTGTGTATTTACCGTTGTACTGTCTGTGTGTGTGTGTGTGTGTGTGTGTGTGTATGTGTCCGCACAAGCAAAAATGCCCACAAATTCAATTTTTCTCAAAAGTCGGTGAAGGGACGAGTAATATTAAATAATGAAAGGGTTGCCACGTTGATGCGAAATTAATTTTAGCTCGTTATCATTGGTAAGGGTAAGCGTTGGCATGTGTTCATTTAAAATATTCTGGATTCGAAATTTACGCGTAGTTGCATATTTTGTACATGAATAGAACAATTTATGCGCTTGTGTGCCTGTTAGTTGCATGCCTGCTTGTCCCTTGCAAATTTGGCAAGATTTGAAGTTTTTGTGATTTCTGAAATTCGAGCTCTACACATATTTCGAGCTCTATGCATATTATATGTTGTTTGGTTAGTGATAATACCTAACATTGTGAACTACCAATTATTAAAAGCGCACTATGTACGCGCTAACATGTACATACATAAAAGAAAATAATATCCAAAAACTTTAAATCTTGTCAAATTCGCATCGAATAGGCAGGCAACCATAAATGCTGGTATGTAAATTAAAAATGGTGTTAGTGTGCGTGCATGGCCGGCCCAAATAAGTTTCCATGCTCACATCTCTGACCCCATTATGTGAACCATATACATACATACATATGTACATACATATGTACATACATACATACATGCATATGTATATACATACATACATGCTTGATGCTTGATGCGCATAAATAGCGGAGTCGATCCTGCTAAGTACATCCGTCTGTCTGTCGCTCCGTCTGTGCGTATGTATGAATTCGAAGATCTCTAGCCTACATACATACATATAAGGTTCAGTGTATCCCCTAGTCGGGAATTTCCGACTAGAGCCTCTTTCTTGTTATACCCTGAATCCATTGAAAATGGGTAAAAAAAAAAGTATAATGCTTTTGTGAAAATGTATATGACAGGCAAAAGGAAGAACCTCAGACCTCTTAAAGTATATATATTCTTGATCAGCATCAATAGCCGAGTCGATCTTTCCATTTCTGACCGTCCGTGCGTATGAAAGCAAGGATCTCAGAACCTATAAGAGCTAAAAACTTGAACTCCCGGGATTCGGGAACTCCCGACTAGGGCAAACGAATTAAAATTGCAGCACATGTGTGGTTTGGCGATAAATAGATAGATACTAGGTATATTTAGGCTATTCAAGAAACTGCAGGTTAAATTTGGCTTGGAAACGGAGAAAGTAATTGATTTTCGCAAACAAGCTAGTTGATAGTTTCTGAGATCCTTGCGTTCATACATACTGACGGACGGACAGACAGACGATTTTTATAGATTGCTTGGAAACGGAAAGAAATTATTGATTATCGAAAACAAACTCGTACTGCGCGGTTAGTAGTAAAACCTACTTTCGAAATTTCAAATCTCTAGATCTCATATCCTTGCGTAAATGCATACGGACAGCCGGGAGGACAGACAGACGAACATGGCTAGATCGACCTGACCATTGATGCTGACCAAGAATAAATGTACTTTATAAAGTAAATATATTCTATCTGCCTGTTACATACATTTGCACATAACCATTATACAAATTTTTCCACTTATAATGGGTTCATGGTATATATGTAAAACCATGGTCATGGTTATGGCGGGTAATACTCGCTTGGTTATTTATATTCATTATACCGATTGAACAAATTAATAAGAATAAAATCAATTTTATTTCTTTTAGTCCCGGATACGTGGGGTCGCCTGCCCGTCGGCTTCTTTTGGGGCCATCTCATTAGCATGGGCCAATACGAAGAGTGCGTAGCGGCGTCAGCAACCTACGGCAACAACCTACGTGGCCAGTATTGTTTGGCACGTTTAAATATAACACAGTTCTACAGCAAAGTAAAGCGCCGGCATGAGGAATTTTCTCGCATTAGTTACAAGCAAACGGATCCTGAGATCTTCGAATTAGGGTTATGTGTGCCCAGCACATGCAGTGCTGAAAAAACTGATTCACTTCTTAAGTACGCAATTTCACATTTTTATGGAAATGATGTCATCGATCTTGATTTTACAATGGTTCAGGAAAAATGGTGTAAATATGATGCGCCGGTCGAATTTCGCGGTGTGGATATATTTGCAATGTGAGTAAAATTAACACGAAAATACAAATTTAAATATAACATCTATATCAATATCTATATCTATATCTATATCTATATCTATATCTATATCTATATCTATATCTATATCTATATCTATATCTATAGCTATATCTATATCTATATCTATATTCTATATCTATATCTATATCTATATCTATATCTATATCTATATCCATATCTATATCTATATCTATATCTATATCTATATCTAATATCTATATCTATATCTATATCGAATATCTATATCTATATCTATATCTTATATCTATATCTATATCTATATCTATATCTATATCTATATCGATATCTATATCTATATCTATATCTATATCTATATCTATATCTATATCTATATCTATATCTAATATCTTATATCTTATTCTAGATCTATAATCTATATCGTATATCTATTATCTATATCTATATCTATAAGCTATAGCTATAATCTATATCTATATCTATATCTATATCTAATCTATATCTATATCTATATCTATATCTATATCTATATCTATATCTATATCTTAATCTATATCTATATCTTATATCTATATCTATATCTATTCTTATAACTATATCTATATCTATATCTATATCTATATCTATATCTATATCTATATCTATATCTATATCTATATCTATATCTATATCTATATCTATATCTATATCTATATCTAATATCTATATCTATATCTATATCTATATCTATATCTATATCTATATCTATATCTATATCTATATCTATATCTATATCTATATCTATATCTATATCTATATCTATATCTATATCTATATCTATATCTATATCTATATCTATATCTATATCTATATCTATATCTATATCTATATCTATATCTATATCTATATCTATATCTATATCTATATCTATATCTATATCTATATCTATATCTAATCTATATCTATATCTATATCTATATCTATATCTATATCTATATCTATATCTATATCTATATCTATATCTATATCTATATCTATATCTATATCTATATCTATATCTATATCTATATCTATATCTATATCTATATCTATATCTATATCTATATCTATATCTATATCTATATATACATATATCTATATCTATATCTTTATCTTTATCTGTATCTATATCTATATTTACATATAATTTCTATGCTTATCAGTGCTATCATTTAAAGAAGCTTAATTTTCGATCGATTGTTTTTATGCCATTAGAGTATATAATAGTAATTGGATGTTTACAAAATTACGCTCATATGCGCGGAGTGTAGTTAAGTTCGGAATTCTTGGTTTGGCCAACAATTCATTCATAAAAGAAAAAGCTTTTTATACTTATAACTTGATTTGTTCATCACATCCTATCACAAATATGTATTTGTTTGTAGTTAGGCACATGGCAAAGCTTGTAATTGTCACCTTTTATTAAGAAATATTTTTTATACCCTGAACCTATTAAAAATGGGTATAAGGGTATATTGTATTTGTGCAAAATCCAAATGTATGTAACAGGCAGAAGGAAGCATCTCCAACCCCCTAAAGTATATATATTCTTGATCAGCATCAATAGCCGAGTCGATCTAGCCATATCCGTCTGTCTGTCCGTCCGTCCGTCCGTCCGTCCGTCCGTATGTATGAACGCAAGGATCTCAGAACCTATAAGAGCTAGAGACTTGAAATTTTAGATGTAGATGCTCCTAGCTCCCGCGCAGATCGAGTTTGTTTCCAATAATCCATAACTTACTCCGTTTCCAAGCAATCGATAAAAATCTACATTGATATCCTGTTTTTTAGGCAATTTTGGTAAATAATAAGAGCTAGAGTCACCAAACTTGCCATATAGCTTCTAAAATAGAATATATATATGCATTTGATGTTGGAAGAAGAGGGTTCAGGGTATCCCCTAGTCGGGAGCTCTCGACTAGAGCCTCTTACTTGTTTTTGGTTCACAAAGTGAAAATGACAAGAATCAATACATCATCAATATACATATATCGAAATGTAAACGTCCCTAGCTGTAATAGTGAACACTTGCTGAATGTATGACATTCTGATCAAGCCTTACTTATTGTAAGTGCACACTAAAAGAGCTTTAGCGTCTTTTGGAAAATATGGGCTAAGAAAGTTATACCGACGAAAAATAAGGTTTCGTCCGACCGACTTTAAACTCATTTTTAAACCCTTAATAGGCCTTTCCCAAACACACTCAGAATCTGGCTATTAAACAATATGGTAAAAACGAGAAAGAAAGGCTATCTTTGGCACGCCGATGATCTAATACCCTTGCAGACCCATCCTTTTCATAATGCTTATAGTGCTTTGCCCATATCTAAGAAGCACAGGGAAAATAGTTAATGCCGAGTTTGGTCAAGATATCCTGATAAACAAAAAAGGTTTTTAATCAAAAACCTTGTTATCGACCGATTGTTCCTATGGCAGATATATGATATAGTGGTCCGATCTTAATGGGATTTTGCATTTATATGAGGAGTATAGTAAAACTAATAAAGGCCGAGCTTGGTCAAAATATCTTGAAAACAAAATGTTTTTTCATACAAGAACTACATTTTTGACGGATTGTTCCTATGGCAGCTATATGATATAGTGGTCTGATCTGAATAGGATTTTGCATATATATGAGGAGTATAGTAAATCTAATAAATGCCGAGTTTGGTCAAGATATCTAGATAAACAAAATTTTGTTTTATACAACTTATTTTCGACCGATCGTTCCTATGACAGCTATATGATATAGTGGTCCTATCCAGCAGGTTTTGACATATGTGCTGCGTGCAACAAAAAATGGGTATTCTGCAAGGTTTCATTAAGATAGCTTTAAAACTGAGAAACTAGTTCGCATAGAAACAGACGGACGGACATGGCCATATCGACTCGGCTGTTGATGCTGATCAAGAATATATATATACTCTATGGGGCCTGAGATGTCTCCTTCTATGCGTTACACATATCACGACAAAATTATAGGACCTTCTGCAAGGGTATAAAAAACAATTTAAAGGGCGTTGGAAATTACTTTCTCTAAAAATAGGCTTTAGACGAAATAAGTTTGATTAGGTCTGTACGCAAACTATAGTTAAATTAAATTTGATAGCATTCTAGAAAAAGAGAAAAAAAAGATAATCATATAGTTGTATATTATCGAGGTGTAGTATAACGTATTCAACAATATGACAAAAATAGTGTACTTTTTTATCACACTGGGAGCACACTTTACGAAGTCGGAATTTTTCGACTGATACATTCTTTCGTACTTGGAACTCAAAATAATATTAAACTCTTCACGCAGCGTATTTTTTTCGCTGATAATATTTTTCTTGCTAGCCAGCAGCGTTTACGATTTTGTGCAGACCCGAAAGGGTGGTAAGTATATATTTATTCAACATATCATCAATAATGGCTAGAAATTTATCAAAATCTTGTTTCTTGCAGCACCTAAAAGACCGCTTTATGTAGCCTTCTCGGTACTGCATAATGCACCAAAGATTTTCACTGTCAAGAAAATTAACAGTCCAAATGTTATCCACTGCCTAAACGGTCTGCGTTGCTTTAGTATGATGTGGGTTGTCTTTGGGCACGGCTACATGACTTTCTACGATCTGCCACACATAAATCGCAACAAATACTATACCTGGTTAGAAACACCTTACTCTATGCTTGTACAGAATGGCTCCCTCTGCGTGGATACATTCTTCTTCATGTCTGGTCTATTGATGTGCTGGGGCGCTTTTCGAGAGATGGAGCGCACCAAGGGCAAGCTGAACATCCCGATGATGTACTTCCATCGCTATATCCGCCTTACTCCAGTTGTCGCTGTCGTGGTTTTGTACATTATGTCACTGTATCGCTATTCCGGTGCCGGACCCATGTGGTTCAAGCTGGGTACGCAAGACCAACGCTGTGCGGACACATGGTGGGCCACACTACTTTATGTGCAAAACTATGCCTTTCCCTACAGCATTGTAAGTAAGACACTTGTTTGGGATCTTTTTATACCCTGAACCCATTAAAAATTGGTAAAAAGGGTATAATGTTTTTGTGCAAATGTATGCAACAGGCAGAAGGAAGCATCTCCGACTCTTGATCACCATCAATAGCCGAGTCGATCTATCCACGTCCGTCTGTCCGTACGTATAAACGCATCTCAAAATCTATAAGAGATAGAAACTTGAAATTGCATTGAACGTAGGGTTTCCTGGTTTGTTTGTTTCCAAGCAATCGATAAAAATCGATATCGAGATCCTATTGACATGTACATAGCTTCTAGAATAGTATATATGTTTATATATATATATTTATTTCAGCTATATATATATATATACATATATATCCAGTATCTTTCACTCCATAGCTATCGTTTCCCCCGCCATCATTGATCTACCAAAGCAATTGTCTATTATTATAGCAATTATCCTATATCACAGTATGTTTCTTTTCTTTTAATTCGTTTTTTTTTTCATAAGCAATGCATTTTTGGTGTGGCAAACGAGCTCGTAGCGCGAGCTGCATTTGGTGATGGTAGAAGAGGGTTCAGGGTATACCCTAGTCTGGAACTCCCGACTAGAGCCTCTTACTTTCTTAATATGATTTTTAATCGACACATTTGTATTATTCACTACAGTGCGTTTCACAGTCTTGGTACCTGGCTGTAGACACCCAATTGTACTTCCTGTCGCCGCTATTCCTTATACCATTATATAAATGGGGAAAAAAAGCACTTATACCAATTGTGATTTTTGCTTTACTTTGTCTTGGCTGCACCGTTGCAACATTCTTACATAACGACTTTACACTATTTCGTGTTCAAGACAATAATGTTGATCTGCGACAGCGCTTGACTTACTACCCGACGCATACGCGCATTCCGACTTGGTTGATCGGAGTTATCTTTGGCTACTTCCTGTTTACGCGCAATCGTGGACGACAGATTCCATTAGCCAAGCACTGGGTAATCATTGGTTGGGTAGTGGCCTTTGGCACTATGCTGGCGGACCTTTGGGGTCCCTTCTGGCGTATCCTGCCGCATACGCCGAACTCTCCACTAATTGAGGGCGCTTTGTTTGAGCCACTAAGCCGCACCTCTTGGGCGTTAGCCATTGGATGGATTGTATGGGCCTGTTACAATGGTCACGGCGGCCTAATCAACGACTTCCTTTCTTGGGGCTTCTTCACGGGCTTTAGCCGTCTGTGCTACTGTATGTACGTCATACACAGAATCGTACAGCTGGTGAATGCCGCAAGGCTCCAAACGGATACCCACTTCTCAGACTATGATGCGGTAAGAGTGTGTAAATATATTTTTTTTCTTACTTCTATATTGTTCTGGTTGCAGATTTTGCGGTGGTGGCACGACTTTGGTATCACACTGACGCTCTCCATCTTTGCAACGTTAGCCTTTGAGGCTCCCATTCTGGGTATTGAGAAGGCAATTTTTGGACGCAGCGACGCCAAGCCAGTACCAAAAAAACCAACACACGTTGACCCATCTAAAGCGGCTCCGATCATCGATCAAGTAACCGAGCCAGTCCCAACCACACAAGTGCTTGATCAAGTGCCAGAAATTGTGGCTTTAGCCAGCCCAGCTGTGGATCCATCCAAGGCATAATTATAAATTTGTAAATTGATTTTTTTTCTTTTGTTTTACGAACGAAAATATTTGTATTATGCATTTTTTTTTTGTTTTATTTATAATATATTAAACTAAATCAGGCTTCATTTCTTTAAAATTGCATGGAATACTATTAGTTCATTACGGATAGTATACCTGTGCGCTTAATATTATCTTTTTAACTGTCCTGTCTTGAATAGCCAGTATCAACTTTATATGGGTAAACAGAAAAAAAGGGCCTAAATACTTCGGTTTGCCAAATAAGTTGTTGTATATCGAATTACTGACCACCCCTTATTATCACAAAACAAATGCAAAGATTTTGACCTTTGATTTTTTAGTCGTACACTAAGTTTCGCCTTTTAATATTTGTACACTTTGCATTTTCAATAAGCACTTTGCTGATTAATTATAACCCTTTACTATCCCTTAAAATCTATATATTTTTGGTCAGCATCAATCGCCGAGTTGATCTTTCCATGTCAGAAGGATGACTCGCCAAATTTGCATGTAGCTTCTACAATACTATTCGCGGATCAGGTATATCTCATTTTATAACTAACGGCACCTCCGCCACTACCCGATAGCTACATATATATGAAAAAAAAAATAGATTGGAATTACCCAATTTTTTAAGCAACAATCTTAATGCTATAGTTTTGATTTGCAAATATCCTAATATCTTTATATAAAAAACTAACGGGTGTAACCCGGGCTTGTCCGTGGTACGTATAAAATAAATGTTCTCAAAAGCTTTGAAAATTTATTTTGAAACTGATCGTTTTCCACCAATAAACCACTGATACGGGTGAAACTTCTCAAATCAAAAAAATGTGAACACATCTCAAATGATTTATCATTAAAATCCTTGGATATGAATTTGAGCTCGAAGCCACCAAATCTTTGACCCCGGCTACGGTTTGGTAAAGGTCTTGTCTAAATTCATTCATTCATCGATTCCACTTGATTAGTAAAAATGTGTGTCCGTCCAGTAAAAAGTTCGTAAGGGGTTAGTTTTGTCGTGGAATGAATTGAACTATTGTATGTAATGAAGGCTTCTTTAATAATTAATTCGTGTTCTGTTAAACTATATCGTTCTTTTCTCTTTCGAAATTAGTCTATAGATCTCGGCAAGGGTTGAGTGGAGTCTTTCCACTGGGGCATTAATGGAAGATTGTTGGAACGACGTGATATGTAATTCAATAGTTGTATTGCCTACAGAAATCTTTGCCTAAATATAAGGAGTATTCCGATCCTTGATCACAACTGATTTTCTTTGGGCTACCGTATAAATTCAAGAATCTACAGACGGATTTAACAATGTTCAAGGTGTACTTTGATGGGAAAGGTAACTATATTTTTATTTATTTTTTTTTTATTAAGATTAACTACAATTAACATTAATATTATAACATTAATATTATAAATAATACTATAATTAATTATATATTTCACTTTAATAGTGTACAAGTCTGTATGTAACACGTCTAAAGATAAGCTGAGCTTTTCGGATTTCTGAAGTTTTAGTTTTTGCGGTTGTCTGTCGTATTTTAATGTCTGGCAGATATCACAATTATTGATAGTCTGCGATAATTTCGTCTTCATGTTGCGAAAATAAAATTGTCTTTTCAAATGTTGTCTCGTCTATTCCTCTATGATTATGAAAAAAAGCGTATTACTTGTTTTTATGTCAAAAGAAAAGTCTGATATAATTCTTCTTACTTTATTTTTGAAGGGTAGGAGAGATGTTGCCTTGGAAACGTGGTCTGCTTGGAATAAAAACTGTATATTAAGTTCGCTTAAAGGATCTTATGGGATGTCAATATGGTTGTCTATTTCTTCATCTGCTGGTGGTTTTCCCGTATGTTCCTGTCTGAGAATTTTATTTTAGCGAAATCACTGATAAATTTTCTAAAATAACCGAGGAGTCCCAAAAACGATTTTATTTCAAGTCTAGCTTTCGGGATAGGAAATCTTTGGAATGCAGCGAATTGGCTGGGTTGGCTGCTTAATACCCTCCTTTGTGACGACGTGTCCTTAAAATTCGAGGAATTGAAATGATGTTATACAAGCGTCCACAATCTGCTCACTCTGTCGCTTCGTCGTCTTTAATTCAGGCGCACACACTCCTATGCGTATAGCTTCTCGCGGTGACAAGCTGGGGTGGGGAGTGTGTCCACGAATTCGCAAAGGAATGTGGATGCGGTGTTTAAGATAGATTTCCCTACAATTCACACAGTATAATTTGTATATATAAAACTGATTGTCCTGACTACCTGATTGGTGATCAACGCACACCCCAAACCGTGAGAGCTAGGAAGCTGAAATTTCAACTGTAGTTACCTTATGTGATGAAGGTGCACGGTAAGATGGAGTTGCGGGACTTTCCATTCTCGAAAAATTTGGAAAAACTTTTTTACGTATTTATATATTTACCATTTAGGTCCATAAAAAAAGGTCACATAAAAAAAAAGTAGTCGTAGATGCCTTCATAAAATTTGTGATATAATTTACAGTTAATAGTACCAGAACCCGGAAAGCCAAAGACGCCTTGACCAAATACTTTGAGCTTTACAGTTGTCCTGTGAGAGTTATATCAGATTGAGGTACATGTTTTACATCGATGAAGTTTGCAAATTTCCCTTTAATCCAATATTTTTACAATGTCAATAAAATCATAAAAAAAAAAACACTTGCATTTATGTGAATTTTTTGCCAATTCTAGATATTTTAAACGTTAAATGTCATGAAACGTTAAATATATATCTTGAAAAACAAAAAGTTGTTCATACAAGAACCTAGTTTTCGTCCGATCGTTCTATGGCAGCTATATGAAATAGTGGTCCGATGTAAATAAGATTTTGCATAAATGTAGGGAGCATAGTGAAAATTATAAATGTCGAGTTTGCTCAACATATTCTGAGAAAAAAAGTTTTCCATACTACAACTTTATTTTTAACCGACTGTTCCTATGGCAGTGGTCCGTTGTTGATAGGATTTTGCGTATACATACATATATGAGACGCATAGTAAAACTAATAAACGCGAGTTTGGTCAAGACATACATATAAAAAAACAAAACAGTTTTTCATACAAGAACCCCATTGATTAATAACACTAACCAAACAACAGGTTGCCTGGTGATTCTAGCTTTTAAAAACCCAAGCGACTTCTCAAAAAGGGGAGTTCGATATCGATTCATATCGATTGCTTGGAGACGGGCAGGCTCTAGGTGGACCTAGGTTTAAGATTTCAAGTCTCTGTACGTTGTACGTAGGTTCTGAGTTCGAATCGTTTACATACATGCGGAGAGACGGACGGTCATTGATATCCATTTTCAATGGGTTCAGGGTATTAAAATAATTTTGACCTCTTAAGATCAACTATTAAAAACACATCTGGTGGAAAAAAATGTTAAATTTCATCATTTTTATTTTAGATTTAATTTATTTTACACTTTTTAGCAAAGTATTTTGTTAATTACAATGTTTGTTGTTGCTGTGATTTATATTTATTTTGTTATAGTATAATCATTTTTAATAAATGTATATTAAGTTACAAAGTAGCAAATTAATCAATATAAAAAAACATGTTTGGTTAAACAATGAAGAAAAAAATAATTATTAAAGAAATAATTCAAAAAAGACAAAATCGAAATGGTTTGTCTTAATACAATGCACATATGTACATACATGCAGAAACTCATTTCGCGCTATTTTACAAGTATTATATTGTAACCATTGTATTGATTATAGATTATTGTATTTCTTTGCGGGATTTTGTTTCTTTTTCTTTGTAATTATAACTAGTTTTACTAAGGCTTGACTTACACTTAACTTAACTAGGTTGCTTTCGTGTTTTTTACTTAATTTTTGTTTTGTTATTTGCATTTAAGAAATTGCATGTTTTATAATAAACGATATCAGCAATGTGAACATTGCTTCCACTCGCCATCAAATAAAATTATCTTTAAAATTTACAATCGCTTTATTATCTTGTCGGCTCTCATATAGAGTATCCATATGCACACAAATATGCATGTGTTTTATATAATATTAAAGAATTATTAATTGGCGATGTCGCCCTTGATTTTAGGCTAAGACTTAGACTCTACGTCATTACACTCGGTTCGCGATATACACAATTAATGCTTGTGTTTGTGTTGCTCCTCTCTTCATTTATAATTTTAATCACAAAAGTTTTGGAATATTCTCCCTACCTCCCTCCCTCTTTCTCCGTCTCGCTCTCGCTCTGCCTCTCTTTCTCCCTTTCCTTCTCCCTCTCTCTCTTTCGACATTTTACACACTTATTTTACAATTTCTTCCATGTAGGAATCTACACACATACACGGACTCGCGCTCGCACAACTCATTGCTGCTGACGGAAAAATAACAAAACCAGAAAGAAGGCCAATATCGGAGCTTGGCATTTAATTTTTTTTGCTGATGTATACGTTTTTTTTTACTGTGCCTGCGCACTTACCGAGCGCGTCATAGCAACCGCTGGTTAAAAGGCAGCGTCATGTTTCTGTTTCGTTTTATTTCTATCTATATCTTTTTACAAGGGCCTAAAGGAGACGGCTGAATCGCCTTTCCCTTCAATTAATTTTTTTATTTTTGATTGTGCGGCGCATTTGAACGTTTAACGGCAGTAACACAAGCACAGACACCACTTTGTTTTAGTTATTTGTTTACCATTGATATTATATAGGTAACAAACTACGCGATTTAAAAACACAAATTGTATATGTACATATATATTGTGAATGGTTTCATGGTTACACATATAAATTTATGCAAGGCTATGAACTAGACCATTGGATTTGTTTTTATACGTGCCATACAGCAATGTACATACAAGGCTTACACGCATGTATACTTTATACATTAAATGTTCGATTTCTTCTGTTAACGCATTTGTGAAGGCATTTGTTATGTGCAGTTACATTTCGACTTAAACAAATGTTAATATACTCTGTATTTGTATCTATGTGTATGTGTAGGTGTTTATAATTTACAAATGTTTAACCCTCTCTCTCGTTCTCTACGATTGTTGGGCGGCGGCAACTCTTGTAAAAAATATGCGTATTCCAAAGCTTATAAAAAATGTAGACTACAATCTAAATGTTAATAACCTAGTAAATAGTGTACGCCTTACGACTAGCTTCCTACAGCTAAATGTATGTGCCTAGCGTTAATAAATAGCATTTATTAAAATTTGAATATTCAATATAATAACATTTTATATTCTGCCTTCGGTTTCAGTGACAAATGTGAACGAGGCACAGAAAATAAAATTAAATTAAATTAGAACCGATGTTTTTAAATATGATTCTTGTTTTTCTTTTACCAGCTATCACAAAATGAAATACTAAATAAATTATGGTATGTATTTACAATTGATAGCAAAAATGTATTGTACATGTATGCATATGCGTATGAAAAACAAAGGCATAAGAAAAATACCGCACATACGCACGGCTAACTTTATGTGATAAACGAGCCTGAAAAATGTTTAATAAATTTTGACTACTGCCTAAATTGTTTTTATGTGGGTTATTTGGTCGTTAGTGTTATTGGGGTTGTAGTTGCATTTTCTACTAATCTTATTGTTGTATGTCAATTGGAAGTTGATAAAAAAAAAAAAATGAAGCGACTTGTAAAACGGTATCTAAATAAAAAGTATTTTCTAAACGTGTTCCCAATTAAAGCTCCTATAAGGAGCAGATATTAAACTGACAACCGCTAACTAAGCTTATGAATTGGTAGCCGTAAACCACTGTACACATGCGTTCATATAGTCTATATTCTTTCGAAAGTTATGATAGTCCTAACACATGGATTTTATTATTATTATTATTTTTTTTGTTTGTTGCGTGTCTCTTGATTTAGAATGATCATTTTTTGACTTAAAGTTAGGTAAAAAATTAACTTTTTAAAATAAGAATAAATTAGCTTCAAAACTATTTGCATCATTGAAATTGTTGATTTAAGACAAGTAGGTCAAATCGAATTTACGTTGTATAAACGACTTAAATAAATAAAATGTATAATGAAATAATGTACTAGCTTTAATGTACTATTCTTTAGATATAATATGATGTACTATTTTCTCCTTATTTTCTGATACATTCTGCTTTTCGTTTACTTCCAGCATCTTTAGAATTATATATTTATATTGTGTTGTATATATTTTGCATACTAAAGAGAAAACATAATTGAACGTTTTACGTCTACAAAAAATATATTACCCATTTGCCAAAGTTTCGAGCAAGTCTCCTAATCGATTGCACTCAACATTGATAGAAGTTTTTGAATACGTAAATTATAAAAAAAAATATTTTCGCCCTTACGATGAGCATACATATGGTACATAAGAATCAGAATCATTATTACAATTTTGCATTTGCAATTACAGATGCTGTCTGTGCTTTTTTAAAGTTCTAAATTTATAAATAAAAGTGTATATAAACGCGTGGTTGCAATCCTCCTGCAAATGCATGTCAAAATGTCAACACAACCTGAGGCGCAGAAACAAAAATAAACTAAATTACATAATAGTTGACAGCCGATAGCTGATAGTAAACATATCTCTACATAAGAAAGTACATAATTAATACATAATGATAAACACACAATGTTTTTGTAATAATTTGTATAGCCACCTAATGCAGAAGAATCAACACCTTCAGCATAAGAGCACAAACGACAGGGCCAAGCATCAAAAGTAAAGGGACTGCGATGACTGTTGCGTTTGTACGTTATATTTATAGGTGTTGTTGCTGATTTTGTTGTTGGTGTCATTGCCGTTGCCATTGGCGATGTTGTTGCACTAGAGCCGCTCCACGAACTTGCTCAGCTGATCAGAGGCATCAGGCAGAGAGCCACCGGCATTCCCCACGTTACCAGCATTAACACCAACACTGACACCGCTAACGCCCACATCCTGAGGCACGGCCGGCAGCGGTGACTGATGATGCATGCCGTGATTATGCAAGCCATCGTGTGGCCCTTGAGGTGCCGGTGAATGACTGCTCATTACATGATGCGGCGAGGGCTGCGCGCGCGGCGATGCAGATGGACCGCGTGGGGATGGCGCAGACCTGGGCGAAGGCGTTGGCTGTGGCGACCGTATCGGTGGAGAGGAGCGAGCCGTCTGCATTAGTTGCTGCTGCAAGGTATGCGGTGTTGGCGGGCCCATCACATTTGAGCCGGGTCCAGTTGGGCCGCTACTGCCACCAGGCAGCGCATTTTGAGGATTTGTACTTGTCATACCCCCACCACCAGCTGCTACAGCCTGCATCATTTGCTGTTGTTGTTGCTGCTGCATCGGCTGTTGCTGCATTCCTGGTGGTATTACACCCATCTGTTGTTGTTGTTGCTGTTGTGCCACAGGCTTAACCCCTGCACCCCCGACGGTCTGCTGCTGTTGCAGCATGTTGGAGGCTGCCGCATTGGCCATGGAATATTGGTCAGAGACGGTTCCAGCCGCACCGCTTCCAACAGTTGTACCGGTTACTTGTACACCGGTAACATTTCCAGCGCTTCCTGCATTAAAGTTGCCAGTTGTGCCGCCTGGAAATTGCGGTTGACCAGCAACGCCCATGTGTGGACCGCGTTGGCGTTGTGGATATGGTGGCGGATATTGATTCATTTGCATATAGCGCATCTTAGTCCAGTTTTGGTTTGGCACCTGAGCAAAAAAGATAGCATATGATCAGTAAATGACAAATTAAGATAAAGTAGACTGTGATGACTGATTGGTGATCAATCCACAGCCTGAAAACTTTTGGAAAATTCTGCCCGCAAGGGTGGAAAATTGTTGGAAATCGGTTGAATTGTTGTTGTCTTTCAGCTTTAAACGCACTTTCAAATATTATTCTGTAAAAGAACATTGGAAATGCATTTAGCACTTTTCGAAAAATTGACCCTCCTCTAAAAGCTTATATACATGTTTCACCGATTTTGGTAAGCCCCTATGACAAACGTAAAAGAATAGGCTTAGGACAGATACATTTGATAAACGCATTTTCAAAAATTCATCATAAAATTCTTAAGTTGTGTGTGATTCACCGATTTCGGGAATTCAAATTGTAAAAGAGAACAACAAATACGCAATAGCAATATATAAAATAAAAACTAAAGGCTCAGCTTTCTATAGGTTGTATTAATTTCATTCATTCGCTCAATATGCAGCAAAATTTTCATTGATCACCATAAGGAACAATAGCCGCTTTTATGTGGACATTCGATTTGGTTTATTTTTAAATATTGTATTTGTAATAAAGGTAAAATGAATAAATACCAGCTTGTTTTGAATGACCACCACTCATAATTACTGTTGTTACTCTATAAACTCTGAGTTTCATTACGCCTAAGATAAAGTTCAAATTGTGACAGGGCTTGAGAGGGAGTATTAATACTACTTTACTTACCATGCCCCCCTGATTGGTAATACCCGGCGGCAAATTTGGCAACATCATAGCTGTATTCTGCATGTTAGCCATGCGCTGATGCGGAGGTCCCTGTTGCGGCTGTTGTGCAGCCTGCATTAGGCTGACTTGCTGCTGTTGGCCAGGTCCCATTTGCTGTGGTCCAGGGCCAGGTCCCTGCTGCTGTTGATTCATCATATGCTGCATTTGTTGTTGTTGCATCACCTGCTGCTGTTGTTGTTGCTGCTGCGGTGTTTGTGGTCCATTGCCAGCTTGCAGTGCGCCTCCGGCTCCACCAGCTCCGCCAGCGGCAGCATTAATTTGGCTCTGCTGGCGCTGCTTTATGATGGCCGCCATTATTTGCGGATTCTGCTTTAGTATACTCAGTATGTGCTGATTACTCTCATTAGTCGGATTGTTTTTGATCTTCTGCATGATTTGAGCTAGTGTTTGCGTGTTGAGTGGCGGTCCATTAACCATGTTGGGCCCCGCCCCTCCAGTTCCACCACCGCCTACACCTTGTGCGCCTGGTGGGCGAACACCGCCTCCAGAGGTTGCAGCACCAATCGGCGCACCTAAGCCTATACCATGAGCTGCTCCGCCGCCGCCCATGCTGACGCCAGCTCCTACTACGGGCATCTGACCAGCCCCAACGCTGCCACCCACTCCAACACCGACGCCCAGCTGATTGGATGGTATGCCCAACATCTGTTGTTGCTGTATATTTTGCTGCATCAGTTGGTTTGGCTGACGCATTCCTTGCTGATTAGGCGTATTGTTAGCATAACGTTGTTGAGGACCACCGCCTCCACCCCACTGATCCATTGGTAGTAGATTATTAGAATTCAATACATTGTTGCAATTTCCCCCACTGGGCATCTGTCCACCACCGGGTACCACGCCTACATTTCCAGCAAGCTGATTGCCGACCATGCCGCCCATCGCGCCTTGGTTTGGTACGCCTACACCCATGGGCCGTTGCATTACAGGTGGAGCCATTGGTACGCCTTTCCCAAAGCTACCGCCATGCGGCACTTGTTGGCGTGCTGCTTCCTCCTGCACCTGTTTGACCACTTGTAGGACATTTGGCGACGGCGAGTGACCACCGGGCTTCATGCCAATGCCTGGTTGGTGTGGATGTGGCGAGGTCATACCAGCGATAACAGCACCAGAAACCGGAGACGGTACCGGCACTGTGGATGGACTCATGCCACCGCCACTACTTGGCAATATAGTAGCCGGCCCGGACATTACTTGTTGACTGACTGCCACACCAGACATTCCCACTACTGGCACACCAACTCCGACGCCACCTGCTGCAACTACAGGGCCGCTTACTGCTGGTCCGGGTAAAGCAGTAGGAGCTGCGGTTCTGGACATGAGGGCGACGCGGCGGCGCAGTAATTGTTGCTGTTGCAATCTGGAATTAGGAAATTGGAGTTTTAGTTAAATGCACAATTTTAACCTGCTGGTTTCGTATGAAAAACTTTGTTTAATATGTATGCATGCATGCATACGTTAGACTACTATAGCTGCCATTGTCATATAAGAACAAAAGATAAGAAAGGTGTTTGTAATAAAATAAATCAGTCTGCCACCAATTGCTTCGTTTAGTCAAAATATAAAGAAACGACTACTTGAGGCTTATAATAACAAGATACACTAAATGTGAAGTATGGTGAAAGTTCTAGGGATTTTATCTTCAATTTATCTGAAAGCTTGTACTGAATACATTTTTCAGGCTAGTTTAAAAGCAAATGAGAAAAGAGGATATCTTCGGCCCGCCGAAGATTTAATACCATTGTAGACATTTGCAGACGTAAGATTACTAAAGGTCGTAAATGCTGAGTTTGATAAAAAAATATCTCGGAAATATTGACCATAAAAGAACACCTTCTTCGAAAGATGGTTCCTACAGTACCGTTCCTAATAAAAAAGGTTTTCATACAATAACCTACTTTTTTAGTTCTGATACTAAGCTTTTGCTAATATGTATTAACAAATGCCGAGTTTGGTTAAGATACCTTGATAAACAAAAAGGTTTTTCATACAAGAATCTACTTCTTGATGTACTAAAAAATACTGAGTATGGATATGTCTCCTTTTATGCGTTACACATTTCATGACGAAACGATTATACCCTCTACAATGGTATAAAAAGAGCAATCTGTTGGCTCAGCAGCGTTTAAATAGCTGTCAAGATGCAAATTCTTCATAAATACATAAATAACACACGTTATTGATGTACATAAACCAGCCAATTATATAGCTATACCTGTCTGTTTATTAACCTGTCTGTTCCTATGCCAACTAGACTAGCTTTAAATCAATTTTTATGAAACTAAGATGAATAATTTCGGATCGGATCACTTTATCACTAAGCATACAATATTGTTATTTTATGATTAGTGATTTTATCTTATTAAAACTATTGTCAGTAAAGTGTTTCTGTTAATAAAATGTTAATTTACCAAGCTTAACAATAACAAGCTTCATTATACGGTCAAAATCTCATCAAACAATTCGTCAACCATTTAGGCCCATTCGGGTTCAAACTCATTTGGAATGACATGTTTGATACTTTCTTGAAACTGCCCCCTGGGTTGAAATGGGAATCAAAGGTTTTATAAGCCGCTCAAGGTTAAGCGATATTGGAAAGTCCACCCCCAATTTCGACCAATGCGGTGTATGCTAATTGTTTCAATTTTATCTTTATCTTTATATACTCTTTCCACTAGCTTTTCATAAATTCATTGAAGGCATGTATGACACTTTCGCAAGTGGGTGGAAAATTGTCCTAATTTTAATATACAAAATTGGGCGTGGCAAAGCTGATAAAATACGGTAATATCATAACAAAACTCATATGAAAACTAACAAATTATGGCAATGTAATGCTGTCATTATTGCTGAGGTGGGTTATTGTCTGACCTTTACATTATACCATTTAAATGAATCTAAAAACCAAATTTAAAGACTATAGCCCTTTTTTAATACATTTTTAAAAGCGTGGGCAGGTTTACAAAAACTTATTTTCTGTATCTGTGTATGCTATACAAGAGTCTACATACCAAATTTAATGTCGCTATTTCTATATGTAAAACAGTTTGTCAGCTGATAGCTGATCATCGTGCAGCATAACTCGTTTTTGAAGATTTTTGTACAAATTCATTTGAGGTGCGTTTCGTTTTTGGATAATCCAATCCTTCTTTAGACGTATTTCACAAAATGCAAGCTTCCTGGGTGGAAAACTTGGATCAAGGACTTATGGGGTAACTTTTAGGTTGTTTCAAATTAGAAATTAAAGAGTACGTGTTTTAGCACGTTTGGAAATTCCAACCACAATTGTGGTAAATTGCAGGAAAATTTGCTATTTTTTGTTTACCAGTTGTTAAGTTCAAGATAATACAGGTATAATTAAATTTTCTAATGGCGGGAACTAGATGAAAAATTGATATCTAAAATTTCGAGCACAAAACTTGCCACAGGCAAGTGGAAACCGGGCAAATTTTCAAATATTTGAACTCGTACTTCGTTCTAAACTTCATTTGGCTCATTGCATTCATATTGTGAAGATCAAACGATCTTGATTTTGAGTTAAATGATTCTAATATTGAAGCTCCTAGTAAAACAAGCATTTTACGATTGGCGAAAGCCACGTGAGTCAATGCAGTTATTATCATTCCAGGAAATCATTGTACTAAATCTATCATATACAAATATTGCGTTCAGTTACTTACTTTTGCTGTAGCTGCTGCTGTTTTAGTTTGTGCTTAATGTTAGGACAGAAGGGCACTGGGCACTTTTGCTCCTGACAGTGTTTAGCGTGATAACAGCATAGGGCGATCAGCTGTTTGCATATGGGACAGCCACCATTTGTCTTTCTCTTGCAGTTCTTTGTATGCTGGACTACCCGTTTCATCTTTTGACACGAAGGCAAACGGCAATTGGCATCCCGACATTGACACGCATGTACCAGGGATTGAATGCATCGTTGAATGGACTGTTTGCGTGCCTCCTGAGGATTTGCCTGCTTAAGATCAGCCGGAGCCGAGCCATCGTCAAGATCAAAACCGAGTTTTTCCATTTTATGTGGATGTCCAACCTTCTCCTTGCACACCGTGCAGAGATCGAAATCCTATAACCCAAAAAAGTAATATAAGTCAGATAATGCTTAAAAATTAATTATGATTTAGAGAGCATCAGTTTAAAAAAATAAAAAAAAAACCAATCGATCTTACATCACAAACTGTACAATGGTAGCGCGTCTCTACTGCCGTCTTGCAGTTGTTGCAGGTATAAACAAACTTGTCCTGGCCCTGATTGTGCAACTCGTACAACATTGATAGTGTGGAGAACTGTGCGCGTCGCAATGATGAAAATTCGTAGTGCTTGTCACGGGCAAGTGTCAGGAATGCATCACGTCCATCCATCAAATCACAGGTGAGCAACGGATCAGGATCTTGTATGGGCTGTGTACGCAAATTAAATTGGTTTAAGAAAACAAGTGATGGGCATAGAGTCGATTAATGTGTTTAAAGTTAAAACTGTAAGACTTACAGCTAGACTTGCTGCAGACTGCGCCGAGTGTAAGCGTATAACAAAGAAAACTTCCTTGTGCTTCTCCATGGTTGCATAGATCTTGGCGGACAAATCATTTCCCGACTGATGCTCATTGGATTTTTTACTATTCTTGCGCTGTGCTGCTTTTGATTTGTTGGACTTCTTGGCCTTTTTCTGTCCTTTTTTTTTGCCATCGCCACTGACTTCGTTGTCCTCAGCGGAAAAAAGCTGCAGTTTTTACAAAATTAAAAATTATGATTTACCAAAAGTTAATTAACTTCTAATTGTTAATTTTAAAAACGTACGTTGGCAGCAGCAGCAGCTTCGGCGGCCTCGGCCTGTTTGCGTTTTTCCTCTTCTTCCTGGTCCAGTTCTTTAATGCTTTCCTCAAGTACGTTCGGCCAAAAATCCCCCTCAAAATAGGGCAATTCAGCGGCCGAACCGAGTTTATCTTCCATGGCCTGTTTAAGTATGTCCTTGTAGTCCTGTATGATGCGCTCAATCATGCCTTTGTCGAGCATCTTTTTGTACCACTCTTGCAAACGTTTCGGTTTAGGTATTTTCTGATCAGTCGGATGACAATGAAATATATAGTCGTCCCCTTCAGAGGGCGGACACGCCCAAATGTGCGCCATCGTATAGCCCAGCTGCTTCACATAGTCCATATAGCCGAGTAATATTTCGTGGTAAACCGCAGTGCGATATTGGCGAGGTCGAAAGAAATGCACAGAATCGAGATAAGCAATATAGACGCGTCGAGTATTAGGCGCTGGGCATTCTGAACCATATTCCTGTACGTGCATACCAAAGAAGCAGACATCAATGCCATCCACTTCTTCAAAGGCAAATAAGGCCTTTGCCCGATATGGAAACTCTTGCATCATTTCACCGCCCTCAACAAACCGACGCCGCATGCCAGGTTTAACCTCAACGCATTTGTCCGATGAAGACACCACTCGTATGTGCACCTCACCAGCGCCAGCTTCTTTCTTCTTTAGAAAATTGTTTACACGTGTCTCAATGTACACACCCAGTTTGGTGGTAGGCAATCGCTTGGCATTGAATTTGTTCTCCTTTCGTTTTGAGTTCTTCTTTTTTAAACAATTATCACATACAAAACCGCCCGGCCATATTGAATCAAGCCAAAGCACACAGATCTGATGTTGCTTGCGTCCGCACTCCTGGCAATCAACGAAGGGCTCCAGCTCTAAATGGTCGTTCTTCATCTCTTTGAATTGGTCCTTTTTAATTTGGCTAGGTATAAATAATATTAGCTTATTTGTTATTTTGATTATAGTGATTAACTTCTATGCTTACGTTTGTGACTGAAGTGGATCATCGCCCAGAGTTACAGTGTCTCCTTGTATGTCATTAAAGCACTTTTGGCAGAACGTGTATCTATTTGAGGCAACACCGTATTCCTTTAGACTGTGGTGATTTTCATGGCAACAATTTACGAGTTGATGGCAATGAGCAATGGCAATAGGCGATGACAATTGGACAATTGATAATACGCACGATTTACGAAATGAGAGTCAAATGAAGCAGAAATAAAACGAAAATTTCACATACAAACAGCAACAAGTAAACCGTGTACATATTGAGATATATGTATGCAATCATGCAAAATAGTTAGTTTGATTTCAATTGATGCAGAGTTCATTTTTAACATAATTATATAGCAAAATCAAAGATTTGTATTGTTGGTGGTTTTTATATAAAAATAATAATAAAGAAAATCCAAGTATTTATCATTAGAAACTTAGAATACGCATATGAAAATATATATATGAGAAACATCTAATTTATCCAAATGATATAATTTAAAACTTATTTATAGGAATTGTTAGTTGGATTCCGTATATTTAAAAACTGATTTACAATTTACAATAGTACATATAACAAATATGCATACATACGTACAAAAGCAAATCAATTTAAATGCAAGTAAACACAATTGTATGATTGCGTACACACACAAGTTTTATTGTTTTTCCTCGCATAATGAGTTAAAATACACTATAAGGAGCTTAAGCTTCAAAAGACTGGCAAAGCATGTACAAATTTAAGTCAGTCTGCTGTCACAAAGTGAAAATAGTATATTGGTTTTGGATTGGTTTCTTGCTTAAAGCTTGAGTCTCGTAGCCTATGATAAAGCTACAATGCCCCATTGGGGGCATGTTGAAATAGGAAATTCTATATCTATATATATATTTTTTAGATAAACTGCAAATATTATACAGATGCACATTTTGCAAGCGTGACAGTTCAGGAAAGGTTATGCACTTTGTATTATATATACAAATATGACGATGCAAAATAAAAACACATGCATATGAAAACATAATCGCTCAGCGATTATAATTTCAGAAGAGCTACAGACTTTAAAATTTGAACATAGGTTCTCTCCTAGTGCTTGCGCAGTACGAGTTTGCTTGCACCGTTTTTAGCAATACATAAAAATCGATATCGAAATCGTTGTTTTTGACCAAATCTGACATGTAGCTTTCATTTTAAAGTTACCGTCATCCCTGCCTAATACATAACACGCTTTAATCCAAACAAGTAAGAGGTTCTAGTCGGGAACTCCCGGAAATACCCTGAACCCTCTTATTCCAACACCAAATGCAGTTCGCGCAACGCACTCGCTTGAAGTAAGATAAGTTAAAAAAAAAAGGTTCCCTTGATAGGGTTCGAAGTCACAACCGACCGCATTACTTTCTGACGGCTCTACTGAACAGCCACAACAGCCCAAAAAAACTCGCGACAGACCGCACCACTTGCTATTCTTCTACTAAACAGCCACACCAATAATTGAGTATTATTGAGAAAAAAACGAAGCAGCACAGAAAACAATGGTAATTGCAATGCTGTTAATTGAATTCGAAACAGACGTGCATGAATGTATGTGTGTACATGTATACAAGAAATTCTTCTGCCCCATTCAATTGCGCAGTAAAACACACACTTAATCGGTCTTAATGAACTTTTCTACAGTATATCTTATTGTACCATAGAATATTTGTGTATTCTCAAAAAGTCAATTGCATTAAAATGGTGGCTTAAATTGGTGGACAATATAAGTTGGGTTATTAACTATTAATTTATAACTCTGCGGTGGTAGCGGGGAGGTGGCGATATGTACATACTTGATATATACATAACATTCTTTAAGCAACATATCAACTCTAACATAACTCTCTAACTCTTAATATTTACCCAATTTGCTCAAGAAACAGGATGTCGATATCGATTTTTATCGATTGCTTAGAAGCGGAGTAAGTTATCGATAAAAATAAATCATGTGGAACTATCCACAAATTTAAGCCCCCAATTTTAATGCAGTTGTCTTCTTGAGAATATACAAATAATCTATCGCACAAACAATAATAGTAATATTTATATTTTTTTACCCATTAAATTGAGAGGAATGTGTATTTTTGGGCTTAAGCAAGCCAGCGGTTCTAATTCTGTAGAAAGTTCAGCGTATCTCAGTTCGAGGCAGTCACAACTAGTGCATTCCTATTATTCTTAGTGCTAGCGTCCTGTTTTAAATTACTATCGTTTCCTAACATATTTGTCATTTTTACATTTTTAGTTTTTTTACAGTTTTTCTATAATAATTAAAGTTATCTGTATATACTACTCTAGAAGCTATATATCAAATTTGGAGGCTCTAACCATTAAAACCTAAAAGATTCCGGCTATACGCCATGAAGGAATTTTACGCATATTGTTACAAAATTACCGGACATGTTCAGATAATAACTTCAATATGTGTGTAAACACTGCAGACATGCATGGTGGTTTGCGAAAGCCCCAAAAAAAAAACTGTCCTTTGAACGAAACTTAGTTTGTGTTATTGAATAACGCGATCCCCATTAAATACTATCATTGTGGCTGTGTATAAAGTAAAGTTTAAAAAAAAAATTGTGTTAGATAATTATATATGCTGATTCCTCATTTTGGTCTGTTTCCATAATTAAATAGCTAATATGAGGTTACAACAGAATCTGTTTTAAACTTCAATACAACCATTGACATTATTAAAGCTTATATTTATAACATATATAAATCACATGAAGAAACAAAATAAACATTTGTATATGTGTGTATGTATGCATTTGTGTTATGTATGCTTGTATCTATGTGGACATGTATGTGCTGTCGGTCTGGCGCTAAACTCACCTGTTTTGGTAGCTGTAGTATTTGGCATCTCGTGGTATCGTACACAGCTGTTTGCCATAACAGCATAGCACCTGCGGATTGAATGTGTACTTCCGACCACAACAATACCCCAATGCTTGCATCACAGGATCTATTTCAGCCTCGAACACCTCTGACAACTATATTTAATAAAAAAATACATAAATATATGGTGGATTATAATTGCAGAAACTATTTTGTTGTTGCATGTACACATATTAGGGCTATATTAATTCAATTTACATTCATTTAGTTACTCTCCGTTTTTTTCGATGTAATTCCGGTAACAAAACCTATGCAAAACTTCAAGATGATAGCTTTGCAACTGAGACTTGTTCGTATAAAAACGGATTTACAGACGGACATAGCTATACATATATAGACTTCATAATTCCGATTTTTTGATGGATTAAGGTTTAGGTTAGTCTCTATTGTTTATAATTCTTTTTTGAATTCTTATTATTGTTCATGAAATTAGGTTTGTATCAACTGTTTTGGACATCTTTTTACTGTTGCTTCTTTTTTTACCTAGCCTTTAATTCTCGATCACCGTGTACTCGATTTTTTCAAGGAGCTGTATTATATATAGCATCGTTATCCTCATGGAAGATACACCTTAGTAGCATATTATGTTTAGCATGGCTCAGTATCGTATTCCACAAGATATTTCATAGCAAAATGGGAGTAGTGTTAGAAACTTAACATTTTGCTCCAAAGCTATACGATGGGAAATACCCAAGACGCTTACATGGAATTCTTCTCCATAAGGACGTTAACATGCTCACAAGTTATTTTCGAACGGATCAATTTTTTACATCACTCCATAAATATATGCATATAAAAGCATGTTGAGGTAGTGTAGTTATTATTTTTACAATAAGTTATATGCATTTATATTCAAAACACATATGATCGATTATCGATCGTTATATCTTAATATACAATAGCCTTACCTTGGTGCAGTAACGATAGACACGTGATGTTTTGCGGTTGTAAAGCCATGCATTGTCAAACATTAGCCACACATCGTCTACATACTCCCAGGGGTCACTATATTTGCCATTAAGTATGTTATTGCGGATGGTACCTAGATCCATGGGTTTTTTTACAATCTCAAAGTAGTCGGGTATTCCCAAAGCTTGTGGATCGACCGGATAACGAAATGGCACCGACTCCGGTTCCTGACGATAAAGCTTATCCAACGTCGGCAGTAATGCAGTGCGCAGCTCTTCTGGGTTAAATTCTACAAGTATCAAAGCAGTCAATTAGTTTTCAAAATTTCTTGTAAATTAGAATAAAAGACCAAGTGTTCTTCTACGTTTTAACAGTCTACTAGCCAATTATCTCCCTAATTTTAATTCGTAGGTGCAACAAAATAGAATTTCTTAAATATCTCCTTATTTTTGTAACCATTGAAAATTGGTAGAGTAAAGGATCTCTGATCCGAAAAGGATAAATATTTTTCATCAGGGGTCATTGTAGGGTTATGTTCGTCTAGCTCTCGATAAAAAATATTTCAATTTCTGGGTACCCATCCTTCGAACAACTATTGTTGTCTCTTTTTAAATTATGTTTTTTCTTTTTTTGGCATTATCTTCCCATACTACTTCTACACTTAAAGCTAGAGTAAGTATCCGAAAGAAAAAAATTAAACTTACGGCATTTTTTCTTCTTGTCGCCAGCATTCGGTGCGAGTGGCTCTGGAACCATTGGTTTGGTCTCAGATTTAATTTTGATATCTGATGCAATTCCCGCAGAAACGCCATCAATAGCACCATTAATATCATCTTTGCCATCGCTTCCACCGCCACCATCTCCATTCGCGCCCGTAGCAATGCCACTGACAACCGCTGATTCATCCACATCCATAGGCTCTGACTTGATCTTTACGTCACCAGCGACTCCATCCTCCGACTTAAGGTCTATTTTAAGCATGCTGGTACCATCATTGTTTACATTTTTGCCTTTTCCACCTGTCGAGCAATCCATTTGTGAACTATCGCCATTGCCACCGCAACTATCGTCCATAAACTCCTTTTTGATCTCATCCTCTTGCTTAATAGACTCCAGTTTACCTTTTGATGACATTCCACCACCTCCACTACTACCACCACCATTACTCCCATTTGTATCATTAGCACCAGCTGGCGACGGCGTCTCATCGTCGTTATCACGCGCCGCCGCCTCCAGTGCAGCCATCTGAGATGATAAACTACTCGAGGTGCTCATCACGCGGCCTGTAGCAGTGTTGTCGCTATTGCTGCGTGCCACCAGCAGCACCGTGCTGCTTACCGGCGTTGAATTTACATTGCCACTTGTTGCAGTCGTTGATGTTTGTGTTGCCCCTGATGCACAACTTATGGGAGTACTGACAACCGCTGTAACCGCTGTCGTTGTGATTACAGAATTGCTGGTGCTACTAATGTTGCTACTATTACCGCTATTTGCACATGTAGCTGCTGCCGAAGCGGGAGTACTGCTGGCTGCCAACCCTGAAGCGCTGGTAGCCGGCACTGGCGAGGTAGGTATATATGGCGGTGTTGCTGCTCGATTACTTAACGGCTGCATGAGACTGCTTACAGAGGGCGGATTGTTTGATGGTGTGCCAATAGGTCCGTTCGACATGAAACTAGGCGAAGGACTTGGGGCTGTCACAGTCCCGCCACCAATGCCACCAGCACCAGCACTAGGTGCTCCTGCAGTGAGTGCATCCAGGCTGGTGGGAGTGGGCGGCATATTATTTAGCACACTTCCAGGTGGCTGCTGAGCCTTTTGCTGCATGGGTGAGCTAAATGCATTCGATTGCTGTTGCAGCTGTTGTGGCTGCTGGATAGGCGTAGCATTGCTAAAGGGTGACTGTGGTAATAGCATGGCTGCGTTTGCTTGCTGTTGATGTTGCTGCAGCAAACGCTGTTTCATTATCTCGCTGATTTGAGAATTCTGTCCACCGGAACTGCCATTGGCATTGATGAACTGCTGCTGTTGTTGTTGAGCGGTCACCGGACTCGTTAATATGCCTGGGCCTCCACCAACTGACGAAGCTGATTGCATGGTCTGCTGCGTGTTAAAGGGAGATAGCACTGGATTAGCTACCATTCCTCCGGGACTTGGACCTGATGGTCCAACCAACATATTGCCTTGAACAGGCTGCTGCTGTTGCGGGAACTGCATACGCTGCTGCTGTTGCTGTATGGCTAGCATATTGCCACCGGGCGAATGACTGCGCATACTTGCCGCTACAGCCACCATGTTGGCTTGTCCGGCTGCCGTCTGCTGCTGGCTAGCGCCGCTCCCCATGCCAGGAGCTTGAGGACGCATCTGCTGTTGAACCATGCCACTTGGGCCACCACCACCACTACCCATTGGACTGATAATAGGACGTACGCCCTGACCCGGTTGTTGTTGAAGCGAATTGTTGGGTACTGATGTAGGATTGACGACACCGCTGTTGGGACCGCCTTGTTGCATTTGCAACATTTGTTGTTGGTGCTGCTCCTTGCGCTTGAGACGTTTTTCCTCTAATTCTTTTTGTATCTTATAGATCTTCTCTGCAAGCAGATGATAGTACTCGGATCGCGATTTAGCCATTTCATACATATCCTTTTCCACTTTTTCGGCATACGAGACCAAATTATGCATGCGCTTGTCCTGCATTGTAGTTGGATCCGATGTCGGAAAGATGGCTTGCACCAGCTTGTGTACCAAATGATTGCGCAAGTCCGCTGTCACCGACTCGCGCCAGTCTTTCTCGCTGTCGCTCCCACTTCCTGGGGCACCGCCTGCACCCCCAGCACTGCCTGCGCTTCCCGCTCCCGCGTTTGATGAATTTGATCCACTTGATGAACTGTTGGCAACTCCTGTGGTATCTGCAGGCATCAAAACGCTAGCACCGGCTGTGCTATTGCCAGTACCTGGCGCGCCTGCTGACACAACGCTGACGTGTGCCTGTACCTGTCCTTGCGATTGAGCCTGTAATTTGAGCTTAGCCATCTGATCCGACTGACCCCCTAGTTGTTGCTTTTCGCCGACGCCTACAAAGTTGGCATTGTTAAAACCAACGTTGACCGACAGTGGCGCTGGAATGTTGCCCAATTGCTGTTGCTGTTGAACATTTTGCTGCGCATTGGGCTGCTGTTCAACCATATTGGGAATCGCGCGCCTGCGTCCAGTGCTAGTATTGCAACCCTGCAGCATTAGTTGTCCACCCTGCTGTGCGGCCTGCGCCTGCTGCTGTTGTAAACTGGTCACATCATTCGACCCGGGTAAAACATTTTGTCCGGGCACAGGCACTCCGCCAGATATTGCACCACCTGCTCCAGGCTGTACACCAAGCACGCGAACAGATGGAGTGCCCTGCATACGAATACCGGGTGGCATCCCTTGCCCCGGCACACCCAACATCCCCGCTGAGACCGGCCCAATACTGCCAACACTCTCAAAGCGTCGAAGCTCTTGTTGCTGCACCTGCTGCTGCTGTGCCAAGTCCGTATTACTCTTAGGTACATTGGTTGCGCCGGGCGTCTGCTGCTGCGGTAACACAATTGCCGTATTTTGTGTGCCGCCAGTTCCGGCGCTCTGTGCCACCTGTTTGCTATCGACGCCGACTCCAACACCGACACCTACGCCCGACGGATTTTGCGAAACCTGTGGTTGGCCTTGTGTTAACTGCTGCTGTTGTTGTTGCTGCTGTAAAGGTGATGCGTTGGCTGCTCCGGTAGGACCACCTCCTGCGCCGCTAGCGTTCTGAAACAGCGAGTGATTCTGGCGGAAAGGATAGCAAATTATGCAATCGGATCGTTGGCAGGTCTTGTAATGGAGCAGTATCTGGCGCGATGAGGTGCAATGTTGCATGGTGCAGTCCTTGCTCTGCTTACATGTGGCCATGTGGGCCAACACGGCTTTCATGGCCTTGCAATAGTTGACACTGCAGACCTCACGGTTGGGATTCATGTTCTCGCGCCGGTTGCACTTGTGGGCATGCAGTAACAACATCAAATGCTGCTGTATTTGTTTCTTGCGTTCATCGGACATGCTGCCTGGTGCCGGAGCAGGCCCGCTAACGGACGAAGCCACTCCAGATGAAATTGCTTGCTGCTGAGATGTTCCTGGCTGCTGCTGTTGTTGCTGAGAATGTCCTAACAGTTGATTGGGTTGCGGCGCGCGTGGTCCCAGTGCACTTTGTTGCGCACTCGGCGGTTGCTGTTGCTGCTGGGGATTCATTTGTGCGTTTGCTGCCGCCAATTGTTGCTGCTGTTGGGGATTTCCAACGAGTCCACCTGAGCCAGGTGGTGGTCCATCTCCACCCAGACTGGACATTGGTACAACTGTGCCAATTGGTCGGTTTCCTTGGGGCATGCCCGCGCTCATATTGGGTGCTACAACGCCGCCGCCACCCCGCTGTGCCATCTGCTGAGCAAGTAGCTGTTGCTGCTGCTGCGGATTGTTACTGCTAGGTGCACCATAGTTACCGACTCCGTAAGGCATATTATTTATTTGGCCTGTACAAAACACATGCGTATAACCACTTGTCAGTGCTTTCAATGTTGGAAAAATGCTTAGTATGTGGGCACTTACCCAGCTGCATGTTTGGGTTTTGCATTCGAGGACCGCCACCGACGCCAACAACACCACCCGGTCCACTGCCTCCGCTCGCTCCAGCGCCCATTAGATGCGGACCACGAAGCAAGTGTTGCTGTCCAACCATCCGTCCCATCATCGGACCATTTTGCATGTGCATACCCTGACTAGGCGCTGCGCCGGATACGGAACTCACACCCACTGATCCGGGCACTGCGTTCATCAAGGAGGCAGCGACAGGCTGCTTCAGTGTATTGACCAAGCCCGTGCCACCTATGGTCCCCATGCCGCCACTGTTTGTCAGGACCATATTGCCAAGATTTCCCTGTGCAATGCTGTTCATGCCTACAACAGAAATATATGAATTTATTGTGTTTTTTTTTAAGCTTGCGACTGTAGGAGAATTACCTGGTATAGCATTCATGCCGTTATTGCCATTATTTGATATGGACATGGGCATAGAATTGACCATGCCCATTTGTGTCGTCACTTGTATGCCACCCGTGTTAGGCGATTGCAAACTGGGTGATTTGCTGCCTAGTTGATTCATGCCAGGCACAACCATGCCACCGCCAGCGCCCTTGTTACCTTGCTGCTGTTGCTGCAAAAAATGCTGCAAATGCTGGTGATGTTGCATTTGACGTAGTTGACTACCAGCAGCGCCGCTACCGGCATTACCACTGCCATCATCCCCGCCGCCACCGGCTCCATTCATTTGTGGTGGCACAACGCCTGACCCAGGTCCCTGAGTAGGAGGTTTGTTTGGTCCGCCAGTGCCGACGCCGGTTGCTGTGGATACAACATTAACGCCGCCACCAGTAGTGCTAAGCTGATCTGACCATCCACTGTTCGAGGAAACCAACTCATCGGGTAGATTTTCTTCCAGAAAGCGTAGAGTCGCTAGGTGAAAATTGTTTAATTAATACATTTTAATGTATTTTTATTAAAAGGACTAGTCCAGAATAAGTAAACTAGAAATAAACTATTATCTAGATACTTTTTGTCCATCATAGTTTAGTATGTACAGTGAACTCTCCTAACTCTATTAGGCGGGCATACCTATTGTCCCAAAATTTATTCCCAAACGATATTTTTTTTTTTTTGTATATTTACAATTTAAAAACTAGGCCCTACCCCCCACCAAATTTGATCTTACGTCTTATCTATTCAGGAATTCTTAAAAACATTAGACATTGCTAGATACATTCGAACACTTACATTGATCTATTTTAGCCCGCTTTTGTGGCGGTTCGTCCAAATGATCGGCCATCATATATATAATTTGTTGCTAGCCTTGATATGGCAGCAAAACGCGTCCTTATGGAAATTAATATGTTTGTCTGCTATGATTGCCTTTAGCAGTACGTAAGTCCGTAAAAAATATAAAAAAAAAACTTCGATTGACGAGTTGAGAAAGTTGACAGTGGGTATGACAAAATTATTTTTGATTGCTTGCGTGTGCGCTGCACAATTTGACAGTTTTCGCACGGATGTGTTTGGTATTTTACTTATGTTTTTCGTTATGCTTTTCTTCTTCTTTTATAAGTTTGAAATGTTGGCAGTCAACACTTGCCTAATAAACTGTTTTAGTAAATTTTTGCATAAACTAGCGGGAGTAGTACACAAATACAACTCCTTTGTTATTGTTTTCGCTGCTTCTGTCGTCTGCCGCTGCGACGAAGACGTCGTCGACGTCGTCCGCGCTATCGTCACCGCGACCGCGACCGTGCCGGCTGAGCACGTCGCTGACTCCGTTGGCTCGCCGTTGAGATCGTTGTTGTAACTGCTCCAGGTACTACTGGCGTCCCATGCGCCAGTAGACGTCGTTACAAGTGCGCGCCTTTGCTCCAGTTGCACCACTTCCCGCCTTAGCCTTAGATTTTTTTGCTGCTGCTGTTTATTAATGCCGATGCTCGTAGTGTTGTTTGTCATACAGCAGCATGCGCACGAGTGCATTTTGTGGGTAGGCGCCAAGTCCACCAAATTGGCCGAATCCAATAAATCGGCTTTAGTGAGGATTCGTAGTTCCTACTCTTATGTCCTGCTGCAACAGCTGCTGCAAGTGAAATTTGAAGATGGAGACGTAAGAAGAAAGGACTGTCAAAGCCAGCAAGCAAATGCGTGCGATGTTGCATTTGCTGCTGCCGCTTTGTTGTGATTTTGTTTTTGCTACTTCTGCTGTACCATTTTACAGCCGCTAATTGTTGATGTTTGTTTTTGCTTAATTTCTTTTTTCTTTCAACTTTTGTTTATGATTTTCATAACATTGCTGTGATACATTTACTTAATGTTGTTGATCTGAAAAGCATTCACATGTCTGCAGTGTTTATGAAGTGGTTGATGTTGCTGTTGTTATCGTGTTTACATTCGCTATATTCCACATTGCACATAACTGTAAAAATATAACAAAGTAATACTTTCCATTAGAGCACGAAACTATAAACACACACACGTATAAATTAAATGACCTATAAGATTCACATTTGATACACAGTCCTCACGCACATCGGAAAAAGTCAACAAATTATGGGAACATAAATTGTTTGAGATTTATTTTCCGAAAGCGGCTACCGTTGCCGCCTGCAGACCAAAAACAACTCGCTGCTTTCTGTTTTTAGGTCTTGTTGTTGGTCGTAGTATTCGCCATCTCGCTGATATTTGTCATCTCCATCTCGCATGCGTCTACGTGTTTCACTCTCACACATACAGATGTGTCATAATTAAATGTGCGCACTATTGGTTAGCCAACACGCACGAAATGGGCCAGCAGCGTGTACAAGTGCGGCGACAGCTTTGAAATTGCGCGCAAACATTTTTTGATGAATGCAAATAGATGAACATATTAATGTATATAAAAGCGACCAGTAAATTAACTCGACCCTGGATCACACGTTTCTTTAATGTCAAATCTCATCATACATGTGAAAATTAGTTGCTTTCTGCGCCAAAGATGAGTGGCGAGTAAATAGTCTGAACAAATACCAAACCAGAGACCCGAAGCATCTGAAGCTTTTTAAAGCTTTTTCGCGTACAAACGAATGCCGCTACGCCTTGCTGTTATTTAGCTGATTTTATTAGCGAGTACATCGCAACACAGGGCGCGCGCTCATCACACATACATATTATATAAATATATATATACATACTTGCATGTATATGCATGTATAAGCGATTATTCTCCGTCTCGACCGAGTCGCGCCGACGTTTTACTACACACATGTATAAAATGCAACGAGACAATAATGGTAGCGAGTAGAGAGCGAGAGCTCATAATAAATGCTGGCTTTGGTATTTGTATTTTTCACACTGGTGTGCATACACACAGCACAGGCACTGCCAACGAGTGCGAGAAGCATTGGAAAAAGAAAGAAAAACAGACGACAGAAAATATATTCCTTTTTTTTGTCGTTGCTCGTCCGTTTTCTTCTTCATGTCGTATCAAAGTTTTCTATTGCAGAAATTTTGTGTTTCAGGCGTATTTTAAATTTTTAGCGTCGTTAAAAAAATTGATAAATTTTTTTGCACAAAATACGAAATGTGCAAAAATGGTAAGGAAAAATATAAAAAAAAATGTAGTCAATTTTAAAACTTTGTTTAATTTTTTTGAATTTATTTTTTTGCGGCACAGTTAATTTTTTAATATTTTTGAGATTTTTAGTTAATTATGCATTTTTACCATACATTTTTCACATTTTTCGTTGATTTATGAAAATTTTTAAAAATTTTTTTGCAACACTAAAACAAAAATTTTCAGTCCGCTTGTGTTGCAGCAGAAAGTCAACTGATTTCGCGAACGAGTAGCAACAGAACTAGAAAGAAAGACTGAAGCTGAAACGACTATGACTCTGTGTTGTGTATTAGTGCCAGACGACGACGACTGCGACCAGTAGCGACAGCGACGAGTAAGCGTACTCGACGGAGAGTGAGAGCGCACAGTTGCTCACTGAGAGAGGGCAAAGCAAAAATGTGCGGTGCAAAGCAAGTGTTTAAGCAATCGGTTGCTTTAGGTGGTATGCGTTAGTATGTGTGTGAGAGAGCGTCGCTAGATAACAAAGTAACGAGTGACCACAGTGTTGAATAGTGTGGAATGTGTTTGTTCATGATTTTAGCCGTGGCGGTAACACTCAACGCTGCGTGTATTTCGAAAACCAAAATTCAGTGTCGTCGTATTAGATATCACTATCGCTATCCTTATTTAGCAGCCGCGCAATCACTAACCACTTGGGACATACAGAATAAAAAATATATTGTGTTGTTTAAAATAATTATATATTGCTAAAATAAGATATAAGTATGTCCCAAAAATCCCAAGTCATCTTATACAATAGAGACGACAATTGCGGGTATTTGATCATTTACAATTTTTTGTTAAGTGGTTTCGGGCTTTTGTACACGCACTTACATACACTATCGTCACACGCGACATTCATAAGACAGCACAGATATAAAAGAGATGGACAGACTATACCTAGCATTTGCGATTCATAAAGGATGAAGCGAGACAAATAATGATGCGTCCACTCAACGAGACACACCAGCGAGTGTTCGTCTCTGATGTGTAGTGGCATGAGTTTGCTTTAGGCATTTTTGAAACTATTCAAGAAATTCTTAATCATATTACGTATATAATGCAATTTGTTATTAACATTCTGTTATTATTTTATGTTTGTCAAACTTCTGCACAAACGAATTTATACACCTAACAACTTGCGGGTATTAACATGTGTATGTATTTACACACATACAATGCCTTAATACCTTAACTCTCTGTAAATTGCGCCAATTTTATTTGATAATTCGTATTAAGCTTGTTAACTTAAAATAGTAACCCTTGTATATTTGTTTACAGAAACGCCGTTCTAGACAAGAGATGAGACGGATTTTTTGAGAAGCTAAACGTTTACATATATTAAGGAAGCGCGTTCATATATTAAAACAAGACTGTTAATTTTAAATAATAAATATCGAACCCCTTTGGTACAATTATGCGACTTCTCTAACTTCGAGTACCATAATGAGTAATGTTGGGTGCACTTTGTTTTATTTAAGTTTGGTTGGGACGGCACCAAATAGTATTTAGACAAAGTTACTTAAAAATGTTTTAATGTATAGAGTAATTTGTATCTTCAATTATTATAATCATACCAAGCCCATAGCTACATACATACATAAGACATTTTGCAGATTAAAATGATTTAAAAAAGACAAGGAAATAATATTTGCCGCAAGACAAGTTTGATCATTAGAAAAACAGTGTGTCCCAAATGATGTGCGCTTTAATTATTGTAAAATATTACAGTTAAAACAAAACCAATTTTGAAAAACCAAATCAAATATTAAGTAATGTTTTTTATTGAAGAAATTCAAGTATCTCCTTCACCAAAAGCTAGGGATGTACAACACTTATCGATTAGTAGGTAATCGACTGATAATTGCTAAACGTAGCCTCACTATATTATCCTTGTTATTAGGCAATAGGTGGAATTATTTTTTTTTATCGCAAAAAGAATTAAATATTTAAAAGCAAAATGCTTAACTTATCTCTTAAAGTTCATGGAAATTACAGAATCACAAGTCCCTAAGTGTGACTGGGATTTTTTTTTGACATGGAGAGCGGCTTTTGTTAAATATGTATTTTTGTTTACCAAAAAATAAGAAAGAGCAAGAGCTGCCCTTCTCGTTGAACGGCGAAATGAACGGAATGCCGGAAATAAACATAATACTACTACTAAATGCATATAATGCCTTACTAATTTAATTACAGTTATTCTAAATATTTCTATTTATTATTAATTATAGGCCTGCCACGTGCAGGCGGCTATGATATAAACTTATTTATTTGCGAAATTTTTTATAGAGGATAATATTATTCATTTATTTGTCCTCTGCGTCTGTGTTACCAAATCGTTTTCGCGTTTTCAGCCTGCAAAAAAAAGGTATAAAATTGTTAATAATTGTAAGTGTTAATTTATTAAATGTATTTGTGTAAGTATTATTGAACATTCTCGTTTAGGAAGTTAATGGTGGGTGAGATAAGGATTTCAGGCGGGTGCACGTATGACTCCTGGTGGAGAGGACTCCGTTGGGGTGAATCTTAACATTAATTCATCATAGGCATGTTTTCATATTATTCTATTGTGTGTTCGAAACGTAACCGAAATGCAATACACGCTCACACAACCTCCCATTCGTTTTGATGGACTTGCCACATTTACGTAAATGCCAAGGGATTTCAAAAGTGGTTGAGCAAAGGCATCGCAGTACATTTTTTTTTTAAATAATAGAGGAAGATATGTATAAGGATACGGTGAAAACTCTACTTGGCGCATGGCCATCGAGCATTGAGTAATTTTTGCCCGCTCAAGAGGAGTGTCCTCATAACGGCGGTGGCCTCATTAATATTTGTTCATACAAAATAATGGGTTAAGCAAATGTCCGCAAAGAGAGGTGTCCGCTCAAGAAACTCAAGAAAAGTTTTAACTGGCTAACATATTACTCGATATACAAATAATTTGGTTATTTTTCTATTTTTGTTGCGCATTCTGATTCAGTGAGTGCGATCAGTGCCAACTTGGCTCTGCCAAGTAGGGATGGGTATCGGCATTAAATATCGATATTGACATTTAAAGTGGAATGAATAGCGCAATAACTATCGGCCAGATAGCATTGATGTCAACATCATTCAGTCAAATTATGGATAAAAAGGTAATTTTTAGTTTTCGTCCCGACATATAAGAACTATCACACATACATATTTTGCACGCCTATTCATTGTTTTGTAAATTATATAATTTATAGTTTAGTATGCACGCATATACATACAAACATTTAAATGAGTATTTCATCACATTTATTCCTTTTAACATATACATATGTATGTATACACATTTATACATGCTCATTGTTTGCATGCATATGTATGTATTTATGTGTGTAGCAGGGATCGTAAGTGTTACTATTATATTAACAAAATAAAAATGTTGCTTGTGTTTTATATATTAGATGGATTGCATTTTTTTTCTGCAGATGACCATGTCGACAAGGATATCTTAAACAGCCGCGGAAAGTTCAACAGCGACCCAAGGCGACGGCGGAGTCAGTAAATGTTTGTGGCGACATCTATCTTTCAGATGCTTCAGACCGAACCCAAGAAGCTGCCAGAATGCGAGTAAGTTTAACATAGCCCACAATATTATTGTATTGTTGTACAATCCGCAGAAGATGTGGTTGTGTTTTTGTTCAGACCCATCAGCTGGTACGGCACATAAATACACAATGGTAATCGAGTTTATAATTTCAGGCTTTTCCCAGCCCCCTTCTTAGATCGTTCCACGAAGCGCAAGCATCATCGGTAATTACTTATAAGTCCCTATTTATTTTAATTCAAAATAATGTTACCCATAGCATAAATACTGAGGAGAGCCCTTTCCTTTAAAATGTTTACTTTTTCAGACAATTTGAAACATCCCAATACACACGATCGAAAGAACCCACGTGTAAGTCTTGTGAAAACCACATAGTAATCAGCAAGCTAACATTTTCACTATTTATTACAGTTGTGATCTGGTCGCAAAGGTTTTATAGACGCCTATAAAACACGGTTGTATGCTGTGAGGCATGAAAATTGCGGAACCTGGAAGCCTTGGGCATGGAGACGTCAGGACGTATTAAGGATGACGTTATTGTTATTATATGATGGTCATTGGCCTTTTGCTATTGGCTTAGGCTTTGTACAAATAGTCTTAGACTTAGCTTTTATTTGAACATATTTAATATGTTTTGTTCTAAATACTTTTTGATTCACAAAACGAAAAATGTAAGCGAAATTATTTTTGAATGTGAGATGTAAATGCACGCTAGGATGGGGTTTTAGGAAACTCCATCAGGTGTGGTAAAATCATGAAAAACGGTTGCATGGCAGTCTGATTGATTGAGTTGCACTCATTTTTAAAATATCTAAATTATATATCATTCAAGATGTCAGGTTCATTGTAGTGCGGGAAGATATTAATTTTTAATGTGCGGGTATAAGCTGAAAATTGATCATTTTAAAGCAATAACACCGGGCCCAAATCAATTAGTACACGTTTGATAATTTATTTAAAAAAATTACAGAAGGTAACTACACTTGATAGATTCTGTTGATATTGTATAATTGAAGTATACTTAACATTGCAAATGCAAACAGTACTTTTTGTTTCATACATTTTTAATACACAATAACTTGCGCAAAGTCGAAAATTCGATATTTATTATGAATCCTCATCGATAGTTAAGAACTCAGGTGCGTCAAATTTGCGGCGGTGATTTAGCGTTGATTTTTGATACTTGGTTATCGGAGAAGGAATCGGTCACTTTAAAATGCATTTATTTATGTTTTTAAGCACGAAACCAAATAAGTTTAAATGCAGAATTGAAAAAAATGTATTAACGCCCATTGCGGTTTTACGTGTCTCCACAATTATCGATAAATTTCAGAATCTCAGGAGTTCAATTGGATGTTGTTCGTTTTGTATTATAAGACTATTCAAATGTGAATTTTAGATATAATTTGATTTGTTTTAATATTTGATTTATCGACTCTGGCGAACACTGGAGTGTCATAGCCTTCAGCTTTTCGTTGTCGGCCAACAGCTGACAGCTTAATCATGCATGGTCACACTCACCCAACATCTCGTATTTGTTTTGCTTGTTTCTCTTTTGTGTGCCCCACTTACTTTTGCTGCTCCCCATTCCCCCCATAAAAAAATAGAAACTTGAATTAAGCTGCGGACAAATGGTGCTGCAACAAATCAAAATGCTCCTATTGGGCATCATAACGCTCTGCCGGCGTGCACTCTGCTGCTTCTCGCGACGCCGCAAGCTCAGCCACGGCGGCAGCGACCAGCTGCAAGCGATCACAATTGGCGACTTTCCATCAACAACAAAGCCGGCAGGAACAACAACAACGGGCGGTGGCGGCAAAGAACGTGACTGGAACTCCTGGGATGACAGTCCGCGCACCGTGGAGGAGCACATTGAGCAGTATCGCCAGCGCATGGCACAGCCGCCAACACCGCCGAAAGAGGAGCCCGAGCCGGACTTCTTCAGTGTAAGTGTTTGCCAACTCCATGTCCCAGAAAGACAGCTGTTAGATGTTTTCCATTCGCGTGCAGGAACTGACGCCGGACATCAAGCCGCAGCCTAAATATTACCTGGACGATGCGGCGCCGAAGCCAGCGCCAACAGATTTCTCCAGACTGAAGGCTCACGACATGGTGCCCATCAGTGTCAATGTAAGTCAAGCTGAGTTGCACACCCAGTGGTACTATACTACAGTAAATTGCACTTGCAGGCTGATCTCGAAGACTGGGTGGATGACAACTCTGGCGGCTGGGAGGAGCTGGACACATCGCAGACCAAGCAAATGATAAGGGAGAAACGTCGCGAGATGCGCCATCAGCGCCAGCCGCCGGCTAAGGCGCCGCAGCCGAGCATCGGCGCCCAGCGGATTAGCGATTTGCAGCGCATTGCGTAGTCCTGATGGCCACAAACCGTCCTCTGCTATACGATCCATTCCATGGTCCACTTGTAATTTTATTGAAAAGTCTGCACACACACACACACACACACACTTTTAGTTACCAATTGGCCTTAGTTTAATGACCCCCATCTTAAGCTGTTCGCCCTGGTTGGCCACAATAAAACGCCAGCCACGAACGAATCTATGCCTTTCACTCGCACTTCCTTAAGCTGTCGTCGGCGATTGCAGCAAGCGGCGGCTGCGGCTTCCATTTCCTGACGTGCTGCGGTTGCCATTGCTTGTCCATTGCCCAATCAAACTCCAATCTGAATTTGGACACGCATCGCTGGACAAACTGGTGGCATATATAGGCAACCGCCGGCTGGCGCAGCGTCTTAAATCGAAATGTTGCTGCTGCTGCTGATGGTCGGCGCGGTCGTTGGCTACGATCAGAGTGTCAACTATTGGGAGGCCTTTGCGCCAGGCAAGCTGCTGCAGCGTTTGGATGCGCTAACTGCAACGGATATGCAGCACGGCCAGGTTAATGCATTGACGGACCAACAGCGGCCCCGCGCACAGGCAAAGCTTGATGAGGATGCGGACGACGATGACGAAATAGAAGCGCAAGCAGAAATGGATGCTGATGCTGTTGCCGATGCGGATGCGGATGCAGATGCCGATGCGGATTCCGGTGCCATCGATCATGATGGTGACGTGGAGCAGCTGGAGTTGGATAGCCACAGTGCCGAAGGCCATTCTGGCGAGGATTACGAGCGCAATTATGAGCAGTTTGTGCGGCAATACTTTGATCGTATACCGGACGACGTAGCTGACGATGTTGACGAGCATCAGGCGCAGCTGGATGACAGCGTCGAGTCCCAGGCGGGGGCCAGCAGCAATGTTCAACAGCATCGCTGCCGTCGTGTCCAGCGCAAGGGCCAGTTGTGCAAAATATGTCGCGAGGCGCGCAACAACGAGGTCACCGAGACGTGCAGCTACTCGCACGAGGCACAGCCGGAGCACTATGCCTACGACAGTGGCTCTCAGTACAAGCGCTACCGGGACGCACCGTCCTCCGATGAGCAGAGCGAGGAGGAGGACGCAACAGTACGGCAACGGCGCACCGGACGTCACACCTCAATTGTTCAGCCCGCCGGCGACAGCAGTCTCTGCGAGCGCCGCATGGTGGGCAACAGTATCTGCTACGAGTGCAAGGACAGCGGCGGTCAGCATATGCGGCGCTGCTACGATGCGGCATTGAACAAGCAGATCAAGAGCCGAGCCAAGCCGGGCCGGCCACATGGCGGGCAATCGCAGCAGTCGGAGCAGGAGCAGCGTCTCTACAAGCGCACCATCAGCTACAGCTATGCGCAGGGCAGCAGCCCGGATGAGCGGCTGAACACCACACAGCCAACACCAGCTCGCAATGATACCCGAATGCCGTCGTCGTTGTTGCCACCTGCCCGCCGGCTAACCAAGGTATTGCGTAGGCGTGTCGCAATTCCAACAGCAGCAGTCTAGTGGCACTTCAAGAAACTATGTTATGCCTATTAACAATTATCTCTTTTTTTTACATATATATTTTTTTTTAACATATAAACAATATGCACACACGCTTTTATGCTTTTATAAAAGAAGCCCAAATAAATGAATTTATAGAAACAAATATATTCCAAATATTGTTATATTTGTATATATACTTATATATCTTTTGATTAAAAATATTGTGAAATATTATTTAAAAGTAATCTGCCTCCGATACGAAATATATACATATATAGAAATGTCTCTATGCAAAAGATTTATTTCAGAAAGATTTTTTAAGCTTAGTAAATATTTCTAGACAAGTCAAAAATTGTTCAGATTACTAATATAACTATATAATATAATAATCTGATGTGGATAGGACTTATGCTCTTCACTAGGACACTTAGAGAAACTTGTAAATGCCAAGTTTGATCAAAACCTCTTGAAAAACAAATAATTGTTTCAAAAAAGAGCATGATTTTGGACCTATTCCTTCTATGGTAGCTTTATAAAATAGATTGGTTAGATTTTAGTAAAGCTCTGCCCATATATAAGTACCTGGTAATATTCGTAAAAGCCAAGTTCGAGGAAGTATTCAGCATCTCATTAATATCCATATTGAATATCATCCCAGATATCCAGTGCTGAAACTGAACCAATTGATATAAATATATATATTATATAAGATATATATGTCCGAGGTGCTCAAGGTCTCCATCCTATCCTAAAAGATTGCCCTGAAATTGCACTTGGTTTCATTTTTCTGTTCACGAAATAATTAGGATCATATTAGATAAGCTCTGGCCCACGCATGCAGGCTTATCAACATGGGCAAAAGCGATTGGGAACTAAAACTGATTTCGTATAGTGCTTGTGGTTGTGTAGCTCTATATATATGTATTGGAGTGTGGCGCTCAGAAGTGCTCGAGATTACATTGACACAATTCATGAAGCTCGAGATTATAATTCTAAAGAAAATGCGACAACATTTTTAAGATATTGGAATATCAAAATAGTATACAGCTGGATTGTGGTAATAACGTTGTTCGTTTTCGATAAGTTTACAACAAAATAAAAATGGGATTTATGCAATTTTAAAATATTGCTGAAAAGCAATTAAATATAATAGCTTTGTCGATGTGTTTCGCTGGGTGTAAATAAATGCCAGTTGATATTGGTTTCTTGGTTTGTTGTTGTTTTTATTATTTACTTTATTACTTTAGTTTCGTAATGCGCATGATGTTACTTTTATTTATGTCCAATTTCATACAAGTCGCCTCTTTGCACTAAGAAAAACAACAGACATATTACTTGCTAGCTCTTTCTAAGCCATGCCCTTGTTGCCATCCCGCTCTAATACGAAGCACACACACACGCACACACGCACACACACACACAAAGAAAGGAAATATTAAAAAAATAAAACAAACAAAATGGGCTTTTAAAAGTTTGCTTACAATTAGAAAAAAAAGTTGCCACATTCGCTTACATCTTTGTCCCTTTTCTTTATCAGGCAACTCTTTATGCAAAAATAGATTATGTATAAATATATATATGTAGTTATATATATATTCTTTATGTATATAGTATTGTTTTATGTGTATATTGACGCATATATTGTGTATAAATATATATTACAAAGTATTTAGTTTCTGTTATTAAATTTGTTACAAAATTTCTTGCACGTTCAACTCTCGGCGTAAACAGATACAACTAAAGCAGAAAAGGGCCAAACCTTTATTTATAAAATAAGGTTTTCACTTTATATAGTTAAACAATAAATTTTTGTTTAAAAAAAAAATTGGTTATAATGAGCACATGCAACACAAAAGGTATTGTGTGTGTGGTTTTTTGTTTTTTTTTTTTTTGTTTTTTTGTTTTTAACTTTTTTACGCTTAATTACAATAGCAAAAAAATAATACAATAATAATAATAAAAAAAAATTCTAAAAGAACGTTTACAAGAACAATTTGCGGGGCGCAGCTATTGTTAATGTCGGTGTTGTTTGTTGTTTGTTGTCGTTGTGTTGCGCCACGTATTTAAAAGTTAGTTTCAGTTAATTAGCAAATACTCATGCACGTGTATGCATGGGCGTACGTATTGTTTACAATATTTTGTTGTTGTTTTCATAATTGTTACTCCTTTTGTTTAAGTATAATTGAGTAGTTGCTGTCGTCGTTGTTGCTGTTGCTGCCACAATTCAATTGCTGTTGTTGTGGTTGTTCTGATCGACACTGTCCATGTTGGGCACATAGTCGAGCGCCATCATGCAGGCAAAGACGGTCATCACCATCTTGGGCTTGACCTCGGTTATGTCCTCGGGCAAGGCGTAGACACGTGCGCCAATCTTGCGCGCCATGGAGATGGCATACTTGGCATTGGCCAGGTTGTCCTGCGCAAAGGGAGAAGAAGGCATTAAGAACCAGCCCAATTATACAGGGGTAATTCTGGGGTACATACCTCCTGTGTGCCGCTGGTACGCACAAGCTCGTAGTTGATGCTGCCCTCCTTGATGGCATCGATCAGATCAATTACGATCTTGCCATCGGCAATCGCCGGATCGTTAAAGTTCCTCAAATGCGACTGCTTGCCGGCATCGGAAAGGCGTGTGTTCACCCACTGGACAATCTCCTTTTCAATGATGGGATTGCCCGAGTTGGCCAGCCGGGACAATATAGACAATGTGTAGGCGCGCATCAGCTGCCAGATCAGAGCTGTGTAAAGGAGAGACAAGCAAATTTCAGTTTAAATAGTTTAACACAGGCCAGCCAGTTAAACTTTTACGAATGTGAAATAAAGGAATAGCTAATGTAATTAAAGGGCCTGTCAATCGTTTACGACTGCGGCATTGATGAAGAAATGATAAAGCAAATGCTGGCAAGGAAAAACAAGTGTCTGTTGTTTGTAGCGAGTCTGGTCGAAAGTGAAACGCTGCCAGTTAAACGTTTACGAATGCGACCCAAAAAGTTATAACAAAAGAGAGGAAAATGAAGAATCAAGAATCAATTTGGTAACGAAGTGTTTTAGAGACTAGCCAAAGTGGTTTTTTTGCAGCGTTGCCTGAGAATTGTTCACGAATACGGCAGAAAAATAAATGACGCTTGCTACAGCGTTCCCAATGTGATGTTTTGTTAATTAGCTAAATCCGGTTGGGTGGCTTTAGAACGTACCGAGTGTGAGCGTGGCATTGCCATCGTTTAGATCCTGGCCAGCAATGCCGACCAGCGAGAACTTCAATTGCTTGCCCAGATCAACGGCATAGTTGCAGTTCTCCAGCTTCTCCATGAACTTGCGCAGCGGCGTGAAGCGTTTGTGGACGCGACTCCAGTTCACAATGCCCGGCTTAATGACATCGAACAGCTGAAAGATGACCAAGCCATCGGCCAAATCCGAGTACAGCCAATTGACGTGCGGCGCCACACCCATGGAGTTCATCCAGTTTCGATAGGCTATAATAAAAAAGAAGAGGAGAAGGCATATGAATTAGGATGCGCTGCTGGTGATGGGCCATTCATTAACTTACTCTTCTCCTCGCGTGTCTCCTCGATGGACTCGAGACCCTCGATCTGTTCGGGCTTGTCCAGGCCGGGATGGTTGTTGAACAGATTGGCCACAAAGGCCAAGTTCAGCTTGTAGACACCATTGACGACGTCCTGTGGCGTGAGGAAACTACG